ATCTCAGAGGTAAAGCCCCTACAGTTTACCTGCAAAACCCCATAACAGCCCAATAAGACCCTAAATAGAATCCTACAGAGCCTTGTCCTGCGTTCGCCGCTGCCAGGGGGGTCGTCCTCTCCTGGGCCTCGAAGCCCTCAGCGCCGTGCGGAAGCAAGTAGACGAGGCCCGGGTTGGAAGATCGCGCTCATACGAAAGGGTGAGTGTTTTTTGGGCTGAGAATCAGCCAAGAAAGCTCCTAGCAGCAGCCCTGGACGTGAGCCTCATCCCCAAAGCCCTCACAGAGATAAGTCGGTTCAGGGTCTGTGGGTTCAGCACGTAGGGTTTAAGGGTAGGCGTTTAGGGTTCTGTAGAACAGAGCCTGGAGGGTCTACATAGTGACAGATCAGAAGTTTCCAGGGGTTCGGAAAAGTTGAGAAGTTGAGCCCTTCCTTAAACCAGAGTCGCCCGGAAGCCTGGTAGCTGGGCAGGTGGAAGCGAAGCTCCTGCAGAAGACCAGCAGCGAGGACTCTGGGGTTGGGGGGAGGGGGGTACCGGGTAGCTGATGGTTAGGTACATATCGAGTAGGCAGGATGTTATCAAGTATAGTATTCTTGTAGCTGGTTCTAGCCCCACTGATGATACTTATGGTCCTTCGAGGGGCTTGCATCGGGAGCTCCAGACAGCAGCAATAGTGCCAGCAGTTGTGGCAGCGATGACCAGACCGATCAGGTTGTGCGTGGCCGTTGTAGGGACAGAGACAGTGTTTGTGGATGCTTTGTGGTCGCTACCTCTTACACAGGCCCATAGCAACACAAATCTCACGCATTTCCGAATGAGCCTGGCCGAGGTACAGTGTCTGTAGACCAGCACGCTTTTGGTAGTCGGCCCTAGACGCAGGAAACTTTGCTAAGATTGGACTTCTCTGTCGTGGGCTACTGCGTTTATCAGCCAGCTCGGCACGAGTCGTACTTTACGGATCGGGTTTGGGGCTTTGCAGTTTCAGGGACAAAGTAACAAGCCCTCGTGACGCCTCGAGCCTCGAGCCCCGACGAGGACAGTTCCACGAAGCCGCCGCTCTTGGATTTGGCCACTGGCAAAGGCACCGCCCACGCCACGAAGGCCTACGCAGGGGGTCGGCCTAGAACCCTAGACTTTAATCAAGGCCTAAACCTCCAAACACATAGCCCTAAATCCCCCCAGCCTCAAACCCTAAACTCCCTAAATCCTAAGGTCCTAGGTTTGAGTCTTCTGCACCTGAACAGCGACCGGATTTCAGGGTTTTGGGGTGGATCTTGAGATCAGGCGCCGGATTTAGGAGCGAGCCCTAGGGCCCCAGGGCCCTGGGTTCAGGGTGTGGGCGCCTGGGTTCAGGGTGTGGGCGCCTAGAGCCCAAAGTGTCTACGGCCGCCTCCGCAGTAGATCTTCCAAGCGTGAAGCAAGCAAGTGTCGGCCCCCTTTGCTCCCCAGGCGGCGACACCAGCCGCGGCCTCACGGAATGTTGGGCCAGAGGGATGAAATCCATATCTCGGACGAACGTGCTTGTCATGGACATGTGGTCGATCCTTGAGAAGTGGCAGAAATCTTGGACGAAAACTCGTGCATAGAACTTCATGAGGGTCATAGTGCATTCGGGCGCGTTAGAGGGTCCGCATAACCTGACCATCCAGATGCTTGCTGCGACTGCAGCAGTGGCCCATACAAGTGTGTAAGGCAGCCCCCGTGGACGACGGAAGCGGCATTTTCCCCCTCTTCGAGCGACTCCTCCGAGAAGAGTTGGACGGCAAGGAAGGCGCGGAGCTTCGTGGAGAAATAGGTCCAGAGTCCAGGAGGTTCATGTTAGATGTGGTTTCCGGGTTCTGGATACTGGGGAGAAGGTTAGCTAGCTTAACTATAGAATCTATGGAGATCTGGGTGAATACTTCATGTTGTCTGCGCCGAAACTCTCCGGGTTCGTACACTTCCCAGCTCCCCTCCTTCTACACCTCTACACTCTTGTATTCTTGTTTCCTCTTTGTAAGCTTGTGTTGCAACAGGCCTAGTTTATCCAATCCAAACAAAAGAACGGTGCTTCAGCGCAGGCAGTGCGATTGACATGACGCAGCTGCCGCCAGTGAACTTCGACCTTCTTCCCAGCAAGGTGACAAGCAGCCTGGCCCTGCGGGAGCAGAATTCGTGGAATGTAATATGCCCAATGTGGTAATGATATAGCTGTCGCAACAGACTAGTGCGGGATGCGCAGAATGTATCATGATGGAATGCTGTCATCCAATTCCATGTCATGCTGCGTCGTGAGCAGCTGGTCGGAGACCCTTCTTGGCTGAAAGTGAACGGCCTTCGACTTTCTCTTATTCGGTGAGGGAGAGTCTGCACCAATAAAACACCCTAAGCAGAACGGAGCTCCACCAGGAGGCCCGAGATATTCCCAATGCACAATCACAAAACAGAAGCACCTTCCAGCCCAAAGCCGATGCGGCAAGACCAAGAATCTGCAGCTCAAGACCGAACGTACCGAAAAACCGCCGCTCTCCATTGATCCTGGAGCCGCGAAGCAGTGCAAAACCTCCCAGACTCTCAGGTATGCCTGAGGCCCTCGCAGCTCTGAAAATCGCCGACCAGCTCCTGGCGCAGCTGGACAACCTCAGCATGGGGCCTCAGCTTGCCAGGGTTTTGATGGGGCTCAGGCAGACGAGAGCCTTCCGATAAGTTGCGCCATGGTGGTGATCTCACATGTGTCTTGCAGGGAAGAAAACCGTCGCAATTCCGCAATAGTCGAATGAATATCACCGGACGGGACTGAGCTTGCGATCGAAGCAGCGGCCGGTGGGAAATAGTCCTTCCCGCCGAGGTTCGAACCTTCGCTTCGCACACTTCCTGAAGATCGCCTTGGTCCAGCACACCTTCACTCGAAGCCCGGCCGCATGTCCGGGGGCCACGGCTTGAGGCGCCTCTTCAGCGCGTCGTAGGTCGATTCCTGTCCAAGGTCTGCTGCCCGTCCCTTTGGGTCCTGTGTCCCTGGCACGGGTGGGCACGAAGGATGATGCCGCTTGGCTCGGGAAGAGACACTGCAGCTAGGCCTGCGTGAGTACAGAGCGAGGCCTCGATGCCAGGCGCATGAGCTAGACTGCAATGAGCTTACGAAGACCAACCGCCTCAAACCCCGTGTCGCAAGACGCTCGAAACCTGCCTTCATGATTACCAATATTATGTATTCCTTAGGGTTCCTGATTATAAATATACTATAAAGGAGCCCCAAAACCCTATTCCGATTATTTAGGCCTGAGACAGAACCAGCGAGTGGCGAGGTTTGGGGCACCGCCGCGACCCCCGAGCAGCAGGCGGCGGGTAGGCTGTTTATTCTTGAGGCGCCGTAGCTATGCAGATGAGGCACATTTTTAATACTAGTTAGGTATAAGAATATAAGAACCGCCATAGCCGCCCCATGCAGACTGCTCATATTGACGCTAATCTTGATGATGATGATGATGATGATGATGATGATGATGATGAGAATGCGTTTGCAGGAGTCGACACTCCTGCGCACGGGCTGGAATTGCAGCCAAGCCGATTTTCCTCGTAAGCCTCAAATCTGACAAGCTGCCGTGAAGGTTGACACGGCGCTCGTGGTCAAGCGTGCCTGGCTTGCAAGGAGTTCGACAGATGAACCCTAAACCTCAAACCCAAATTCCAACTGCCTCAAACCCAACTCTCTACCCTGTTTTCCCTCAAGACTCCGATGCCCGCAACCCGTAACCCGAGAAAAGCAATCAACCATAAAAACGAAACTGCAACCCTCCCAAATCTCGGAGGCATTGCGCAGCATTTTGCCATGAGCTGTGGCGCGACCTTCGGACATCGCGGCTTCGACGGTACTCGGGTTATCATCCTCGGGGCCATGGTCCCGTGGCTTCCTTAAGGTTTTAGGGTTTAGGGTTTTAGGGTCTGGGGCTTAGGGTATTACAGTCTGGGGTTGTTCCATGTTTTTGTTGAACAAGGGTTTGCACAGATTGAATAGAAAGTTGGTACTGTGTCATAAGGGTTTATGACAGGAGTCCCACAAGAGGTTTCTAAGGTTGTTAGGTTGCTTTGGTACTTATCAGGGAGCTGTGGCCTATGTTAGTTTAGCGACAAACTAGGCTTATCCATGACCTATTGAATCCCATCCGTTTATGGGAAATCACCCTGGTGAGACTCTGCTTAGGCTCCCTTCTCGGTGACTCCTATGTGACAAGATTGTTCAAGCCGAGCTTTGCCGCTTCCCAAAGTGGTATGAATATGCCAGGTGACTTTGCTGGACCGGTTGCTGCGGCAACCAGGCAGCTCCACGCCCAGCAAGGCAATGATGGGACGCCTGGATGATGTCGCCCGGCTGCGGATTTGTTGTAATCGTTATTTATGTTCCGGTATTTGCTGCTTTGACGTTGAACTATGCTTGCTTGTTGTCCTGCTTGAGTTACCGGTAGTACGTGCCATACCGTCCAGAACCCCGGCACCGTAACCCGTTAGGATGCAGGCTGCAGGGTTTTCGGTCCACTTCTGAGGAGAAGGAGCAAGAAACTCGATTTTTGGTATCGTGGGAAGTCTTCGCCAAGCAGTCGGAGACTTTCCTGCCTCCCAGCTGCATGCCAGAGTCCGTCGCTGCTGGACTCAGCCACCATAATTGCGGCAAGTGCTCGTTCGTTTCGTACCATTCGGCGCAACTTGGAGCTCGCTGCTTCTATTGTCATCATCAGTGGTTGTTGTTCATGTACCGCACCGTGCCCAAACGTCTTGTCACGATCACTTCTTCCTGCACGCGCTGTGTGCGAGAATGGGGTTAAGCAGTATCAGGTCATGGAGACTGCAACATGCACTCCTGTGACCACGCCTGTGACAGATACGGCTGCCATGGCTCCACCATCTTGTCACCATGCGTCATCAGTATGATCACCACGATCATCACCATCGTGACCGTCACCACATCATTGGCGGCAGCATCACAGCAAACCCTATGTGATCATTCAAGCCAAGTTTTCTGCTTCATGCCTGGCTGCCAGAGGCTCTTCTCCCCGGACCTGAACGTCACCCGTGCCCGCAGCCTGGCCTACTTCCAGGAAGTGGAGCAGGACCACGCAAGTCACTCCGGGCCGGACGGATGCCCTGGGAGCTGAGCCCGGAAATCCTCATCTTTTCCCCCATCCCAAATTCCCCGCGCTTGGGCGAGTTTTACAGCCCTGCACAGGAGGCCACAGAGCAGGGAGCCAAGATGAAGCACCTCTTCCAGTGGGAGAAGGATGGTTGGGGGCCCAGCGTTAGCTTACATACGCTTTTTCTTCTCTTTCCCTCCCTCCCTCTTCGCCCCCCTCTCCGTACACCTTGCTGCACAGCTGCGACCTGGTTCGTTTAGTCGAGAAGCTCGAAGTCTCCACTTCAAGGGCTGCAGGTGCCCACGAGGTTTCTCAAAAGGCCGCAGAAGGGCTTCTTTGGCTGAAGCCCTTGCCTTCAAGCGGACCGCCGAAACCCGAAAAGTCGTGTCGGTACCCGGCGCGGCACTACCAGTACTTCGAGTAGCACCGACAAGAGCAACAGAAAGAGCTCCTGCTAATACTGTCCGGTTCTTATTAGGGAGTTGGGGAATTGGGGAATGGACTATGGGGGCTATTATTGGGAAAAATTTAGGGACTACTATAGGGATCCATTCCCCCATTCCCTACTAAGCACCAGGGAGTAATAAGAAAGAGCTCCTTCTGATAATACGAATAATACTGTTAATAATACTGTAGTATGATTCTATACTAATACTCATTATCAATCATAGTATTAAGAAGAAGGGCAAGATGCCCCCTGAGCCCAACAACCCTAAGGCTGGGTGATGGAGTTCCCAGACCAGGGGGCCGAGGCCTTGGCTGGTAAGATGGCAAAGAGTCTCTACCGCAGGCGGGACTTTGGGTTTAGTTTAGGGACTTTGGGGCTCTGTGCTAAGTGCACGAGGCGGTCAGTACGTCGTAAATTTCGGGCTTGGGTGCAAGTGTATAGAGTACAGGGCCTTATCCGCAGGTACCGTGCACTTAAAGCATGGGCAGCCGGCAAGACAATGCTTCGACTGTATTGCTAGGATGACCCAGGCTCCTAAAGTAGCCGTGGAACTGGGGCAAGTATGACGCGTAGTTTCGTGCCCAGATGAATCCCAAACTGACAAACACCGCATACCTCGGATTTGCTGTCGAATCCTTACGGTGGCTCGTCAACTCAACTGCACGGCCGTACTGTGAACACTTAACGCCCGAAAGTTCGAACATCCTCTTTGCCGGAACTCAGTGATCTAAGAGGCTTTACCTGAAGAATCCTTCTAGAAAAGTTTTCAAAACTTGGCCGGGGGGGTGGGGGGCGGCGGGTCGTATCATGTCGTATCTTTCCTGGAGATCGGGGTGGGGGGTGAGTGTCTTTACTGGAGATGGTTCTTGCTTTTGTTTCGGCTCGTCCTTAGCCCTGATCCCTGAGGCAGGTTTGTCCAGGTAACTAGGATGACTTTTTGCGCTTGGGTTGATGGCGGTTCGGGTTTCGGATTCGATCTTGAAGTCTTGCATGTGGCCAAGCATAGAGGCGGATCACCCTCATCGACAGCTACTTGGACAGCTACTTTCCGGAGTTTGCAGCTTATCGAGATGTGGCGCGGCCGGCAAGACTTGCTGCAGAGTCAAGAGATGATGTGGATAGAGCACGAAGTTCTGATGGGAACGGGGGAACAACAAAAGGTAGATGTTAGGAATCTGGGTGGGCATCAAAAAGACAGGCGAGATGAAACTGAAGATGAGAGGAAGGCCGTACTGTGGCAAGGTGGAGCGGTGATGTTATTGCTGATGAAGCAATGCAGGTTTTCAGGCCGCAAAGATTCTGGTGGCAACTCACATGCTTGAAGGTGATATCAGGATGGAGCCAACGAAACCCCGATCTCTATGCGCTGAGGTCTGCATGTGGTGGAAGTACTATCTCTGCACTGATCCGGTGGTCTTCCGCTTTCAGCCGCTGGAATTCTCGGATGGTCACCTGCAGTGGGTCATCGACGTCCACCCGCGATGGCAGCCATCCAGCCGCAACCAGCGCTTTGCAACTGGCTGTAGAGCCCCGGCACACCATGACCACGACTAGTATCGGTGTACCTGTTCTCAGTTCTGATAGTTTTCCGATGAAGGTGCTTGCTTGAGTTGCTGATATTCCGAGTTCTATTGAGTACTAGCCCGTAGTCACGCTGCGGTTGTTAACGTTCAGCTACAATCGGAGGAAGTCTGAGTGTTCTGAAAAGAGTGCTGCCATCATCCTGTATATCATTATGTCTGTGAAAGCTGTTCATGACAGCTGCTCTGTTACAACGGGTGTTTTCATTCTGGCGACTAGTGACTGAACAATCGCAATCAGCACTGCCACTCCCACTTGGCAGTGGCTTGTGATCATGGGTTTTTGTTGTTAGTAGTATGGGTATTCATGTGCATATGGCTGTCAGTTGTTTACCATCATCGGGAGGCCCTAAAACGAAACGCCATTATCCATGCACGGCTGCTAATTGTAGCACTGTTCTGAGGAAGCGCTGCTACATCGTGAAGTCCTTTGGCCAGGGAAACCAAGCCAAGATGCTTTTCCAGAAGCTGGAGAAGCCCGCAGGGGACCCGGACTAGTAGAGGTCTAGGACGGTCTGGGGTTGAGGGTTTGGAAGGGTTTCAGGATTTGCTAGAGCAGTGTGTCGGTGCTCGGGGTAGGCCAAGTACAGCATGCTCGTCTTCAGGATTTTGCAGCTCACAACTTGGTCTAGGGTGCGGGTTGTAGGCTTGGGTCTTTTGGTCTGCTGTTTCGTGCAGATGTCATGCTGCTGGGAGTCACAAGTTTCCAGCGCCGGAGAGAAACTGTTGCGCAGCATCATCACCAGATGGAATCGGATTCGCCAAACAAATTTTGATCCGTTAGCCTGACTCAGCAAGTCCTAGAAGCCCTCGACCTGAAACCAGCATCTCGCACAAGAAAACTCCAAATCACAGAAGGCCATGAACGAGCATCGCTACCAGAGCGAAGCGCTTCCCAGCAATTTGGCGGGTCAGAGCATCTGGTCCGAGGACTACACGGGTTTGGGGCCTTATTGATCACTCGTGACCTGGTTAGACGGTCGGAGTCGTCGTAGCGCTATGTACGTGTGAGTGGTGCAGTGTTTTTTTTGTGTGTGGTGAAAGAATACGGAGGCTCCAGCGCAATGCGCCGGAGCTTCTCCTATCGCCCGAAAAATGGGTTGAGTGCATGACCGTGCGCATGATGAGATTTACATATGATTTAAATCTTCGCGCACATACCTTGCCGTTAGAACGTGGGCATCACTACATGAGACTCCTTGCGAGGACGACGTGCTCCACGTTCCGACGATGCCATCCTTTGGTGATCGTCCGGTCCTTAGTGCAAGAGGTAGAACCGACAGAAGCAACATCAAGTCGGTTCCGTTGTGACCGCAAGGTATAGTGTGCAACATGCAACGGAGTGCGTATCACCTGGCTAGCATCTAAAACTCTAAATCCGCATGAGCAGCTCCATGATGGTTTGGATTGCGGCCAATGGCAGGCTTGGAGCGCCAGAATTACTGGCTTCCTGCACCCCTTTCACTTGACTTGCGCTGAGAGCAGACATCCCCCCCTCTCTCACACCCTCAGGTCCTCATCCGTTCGCGTACCTTGCATGATTCAGGTTTGGGCCAGGCGGACAGCGAGTTGCTGCTGTCTTACCTGACGGTGCCGAGCCCGAAATTGTTTTGGCGGACCCGAAGCTTTCGAAGCAGGGTGCAGTTTGTAGAAGATGGCATGTAATAGTACACATCATGTATCATATGTATATATAAATATATGCACACATGGAGTTTCGTTGGTGTTTAGTGTTGTTACACCAAAAGGTCACGATGAGAATCGGATCTGTCCGTGCTGTTGCTGACAGTTGCCATTGCTGAACCAAAGCTGTCCGACTTGTGCGACACCTCGCACGCGTAGGGCTTAGTTTTTAGGGTATAGAATGGTATAGACGTCTGTATAAAGGTTGGTTAGCCGGCACCAGGGGAGCTCATGTTCGTAAATGCAAAGAGACGAGTTCATGGCCTTCACCACGGCTCCCAGGACAACTCACAAAAGCTATGGACCACGGCTCCCTCAGTTCGACCTGAAAGCATAATCCACATCTCTAGATTCGGGCTCGGCGCTTTTGAGTTTGAGTCTGGGACTCACTGGACCCGCGTTCCTTGAAGCTCAAAGCCAGACAGCACAGCAACCAACTCCTCGTATTGAATCAGGTGCCATATCTCCGGATGCCCCTCTGCCTCAACTACTTCTCCACAGAGGACAGAAGTAGATGAGACCCGAAAGACCCAGATCCAGCATGGCATGCGTGGAGCTCGAGAGCCCCGGTGCCCTCAGAAGATCCACGAAGACCGAAGACCCGCTTCCTCTACGCGAGGACCGAGTTCATGCGCTTTCGCAGCAAAGGCTGCGAGATCTGCTCCAGGCCAGCGAAGCTGAAACCAAACCACACCCGGCCGAGCTTGTGGTTTCGGTTCAGGGTTCCGGACATACCCCAGAAGTCTGTGCAGCTATGCAGAGATAGCAGATGTAAGAGCTTCTTGGCCTTAAGGGTTCCGCTGGGCCACCCATCGAGAGCTCAAGGACTAAGCTTAGGGTGCAGGATTGAGGATTCAGGTTTTAGTGTTCTGCGGATTCGGGTCCACTGCAGTGCGTGGGGCTGCAGACGGAGTCCGTGCGTGATCGGGAGCACATCGGGGCTGTGAAGTGTCTTGAGGGAGCCTATATAATACAGGGGCCTCAATAATTACCAACACTGTTAATCAAATTATTATGAATTCCCCCAATGTTTTGCTGTTGACACTCTGAATCCGAAACAACAACTCAAGGCTCACTTCTTGGAGGTTGGAGTTGGAGAGCTTTCAAAGCTTGCTTTTTGATTGCCCCCGAGCACAAGCACGAGCGACTTTACATAAAGTCTCAAGCTTCGCCCTAGACCCAATATTCCTCAGGTTCGGACGCCCTACACCCCAAACAAGTCCTCAGGAATAAGTTGTGCTGCAAGCTTCAACGAGTGTTCCTTGATCTCTGGTTCAGGCTGTCGTTTTCGAGCCGGGCCGCTTCCTCCCCAGGCGACTGAGCAACCAGGTGGCCACAGTTGTCCCTGTTAAGGGGTCTTGGGATTTTTCGTAAGGGGCTTCGGGATTTGGAGTGGATTTTGGGATTGAGGGTTTTGGCATGGGGACGTAGGGTTCACGGATTCTGTCTGTCCCTAAGCCCTTGCTGTCCTTAGGGCGCACACCCGGGTCTTTGAAACTAAGCTATATTCACTGGCCTTCCTGTCTCGATCTCTCCTCTGAATGGAGGAGCACTTGAAGCTTCACGTGCGAATGCCACAATGGGCTACCCAGCGCCTTACACAGCACTACAGTGCAAACCCAGTAACCTAGGCACTAAGGCACATAGTCCAGGTTATGGTAAAGCGGCGTATGTCGAACAAGGTACGCAGAAAAAAAAGCGTACCCTGAGCCACCGCGTAGGCCCTTCTTCCGGCAGCCGCGACTTCAGATGTCGACATCTGAACCCCTCAGCCTAAGCCCTTATCCGGGGCCCTCAAGCCCTAAACCCTGAACCCTAAACCCCGGACCCTATACCCTAAGCCCGAAACCCTGAAAAACCTAAGCCCAAGACTCTCAACAAGCCCCTGAGACCCAGTACGATCTGCCAGATCCCAGAGATGGTTCCCGCCGAAGATCCCGAGCTCTTGGGAACCGGCTCCTTGGCTACACGGTGGCTGAGGGTTCAGACTTCTGGGTAGGGTTGGGCGTTTCTCGCTGGCTTCACTTGTCTTCGGGCTGGTTCTGCCCAGGGTTCGCAGGGTAAGCAGTACAGCCAGGATGCTTCTTGTAGTAGAGCCACCCAAGAAGTGCTAGAATACTGTTTCAAGCAGGCGGTTGCTATGATATCAAGCCACCTGTTCAGACGGGGTCTAAGTGTCCGGAGATCAGAGAGGGGGAGCCATGTAGAGTGGACCTAATGTAGATTAACTGCCCAGGCGCTGCCCGGACAAAGCTATTCCTCAGAGACCCTTAGCTACAGGATCGATCGGGGAGGGTGCTGGCGACCTGAGGAAGCCTACGAACCGTAGAGTGTTTGCTCTTGGAGTGTCAGGATTTTAGCAAAAAGTCCCTCAATCACCAGTTTTGGCCGCCCAACGTGTCGTCACTGCGAACGGCAGGTTTCGGATTGCTGACGAACGAGCCGCGCCCTCAATCACATGACATGAAGGGCTCGCAGTCGTCCGGGCTTGCTTCAGAACAGCAGATGTTCCCGCTGTTTCCTAGGTTGGCACGGTCGCCGGAAGCTACCGTGGATGCCGTCATCGAGCTCTTAGACCAGGCAGGCATGCTTTCGTGAGGAGATGGGCCTATAGTCACGACTCAGCAAACCCTGATCGCATACCGTTGCTGTCCGTACTTGTGATGGGATGCATTCAATTTGTTCAACTTGGCCCAGGCGTTAAAGCTGGACACACAGGCGGGGTGGGGGGAGTTGCATTTGCCTGTGCCACCGATTGCCACACCACCGGGACAGTTTCGCCCCCCAGCCCTCCAGGTACAGTTGAGAGCTTTCTGGGTCCCGGCAGTCGTTTGCATAGAGAATGAAGCAATTGAAAACGATGCAAGTGCAGTATTTCAAAAGGCGCCGTTGTAGATCAATTTTTTGGTGTTGTGCAAGGTTGGCCAGAGGAGATTTCCGAAGATCAAATTAGGAATCGGAGTGAATTCAAAGAACTCTCGCAGAGTCAAGAAGCAGAACGAGGAGCGGAAGAGTCGGTCTGAGCCCGATTCATGAACCGCTGGCGTTTCTCTCAACCAATAGTCTTTCAACTCCGGTTCCTTCTACAACTATTTAGGGTTTAGGGTTTTAGGGTTTGGAAGTTTGGGGTTTAGGGAATCCGCTGGGCAAGTTGAAAGAATCTTTGGGGAAAAGTTGAAAGAATCTGTTTGCGACCCGGAAGAGGCACCCTGGAACTGTAAGGGCTCCACGGGAAGTGTGTACAGTAAGGGTACACAGGGATTGTAGTGCGGCTTGTGAAAAGGATGCAACCAGCATCCCAGTCACCTCATAAGGATTCTGGTTTCCTGAGCGCCGAGGTTTCGGACCAGACTCAAAGAGGAAGTACTGTATGGTAATCCTAGAAGTGCCGTGCTCCGGGACAATCATGGAGTAGGGCTTGTTGGTATACCGTATACTAAAGTACCCCCCCAAACCCTATTCAAATTATTAAGGCTCCAACAATACGGAATCCTGCATCCGTTACAATAAGGAATGCTTTGTTCAGTATAGGGGGCTGTAGGAACCTGATCAAGAAACCCTGGGCCTATAACCCCGATGTAGTGGGATCCATATCAATATTAAGAACCAAAATAAAGGCCCAAGGTTTCTCAATCCGGTTTCTGCATTCGGAAGCCTCCCTTGTGTAGGACCCTCACGCGAGCACCACGGAGCTGATCCTGTCCGTCCTGCGGCTCTGTTGCAGGGCCGGGAGCCCCAGAAGTGTTTCTACATATGTGTATATATATATATATATATATTTATACACACATACATATATGCATATAATATAATACACATATGTACATGATATGTGTATGTATTATGTATATACACATACATACATACATACATACATACATACATGCATACATGCATACATGCATACATGCATACATACATACATACATACATACGTACATATATATATATATATATATGTATACACACACATACACACATGTGTATATGTAGAGGCATGGGCTTCTGTAGGCAGTCTGCGAATATCTACTCTACAGATCTCAGATCGTTCTCTTGCTGTTTGGGACGTTCGTGGACTTGACCTGAGAGCAGCGACACTGGTGAGTGGGAGTAGCATCCCATGACTCGGGCTTCAGCTGCTTTGGCTCTGGGACTTTTTGCCTTTTTGGGGTTGGGGGCTTTAGGGTTTAGGGATTGAGGGTTTTGGGGTCTTACGGGCTAGGTTTAGGGTCCCGGGTTTGCGCAACGCGTTCGGTGGTCTTAGGTTGCCGAGGTAACTCACTGGGTTTTACAGGCGACACTCAGGTGTCTACTCTCCTGCTGGATGTCGTCAGGTTCAGAACACCTTGGCATTCCTTCTGTCCGTCAGCCGAGCAGAGTGTCTTGACCGCAGAACTTGGATAAGTTCAGCCGATTGCAAGCATGATTGTACATGGCCAGGAAAACACCCCTCCCGACGAAAACCCACCATATCCACACCACCCGTGTCGCATCTAACGTTTTGCGCCATTTAGCGGTGCTCACAGCAGCTTTTGCCCTTGGGCACCTGGCAAGTCGAAGTTGAGCGACTTCCTGGCGACACGTCACGCATTCCATGCAGAGAGGGCTCCGGCACTTCCGGGTGTGTTTGTCACTCAGGCATGCAACCATCAGTAAAACCATCGAGGAACCCTGCGTCCTTCTTCTAGCTTGCGGTTCCAGAGCCCCTTCATGTACGTAGTCGTCCGTCCCACCGGTGCGAGATCTTGTCCTGGGTGCTTCTGGTGCACAACGGTGCTGTGGGATTGGCACAGCTGTTGATGCATCAGGGCTGCTTTCTGACCTGTTCCGATTGAATTCCTCGGTTTCTTGAAAACACACTGTACCTAGAGGTAGCGCTATGTTGCATGGAGATCCGACCCTAAACTGGCATCATCCTCTGTAGCCTGTTTCACGATTTCGGCAATGAGGGTCTTTCGGCCAGCGCAGGCATCCGAGCTGCAACGCTGAAGGGCTCAGCGAAGGCCGGAGACGCCTTGGTCTCGTAAGCCGACGCTCGACCAAAACCGAGCCGATGGCCCCTGTCGTAAGCTCGACACAGCATCCTCATTTCCCAACCTCCTCACACCTTGCTGCAGCCATGCCCCAGAGAGCCCTAGATCTACTCAGCTACATCTGGAGGCCGAGGGCATAAACCAGTGCCCCATCCCAGCTCCAGGGATCCTCATGATAAGTATGGTATAATATACCACCAAACCCTGTTCTAGCTATTACAGCCCTACATTATAGTACCCGTATAGATCCCATGGGTGCTGCTTGCATCCTGTCCAGGTGGGCGGCCCGTGTTCTCGGAACGGACCCTGCGACAGCTGCAGGCAGGGCTTCGGTAGTGCAGTCGTGCAGTTGGAGCTTGATCTTGTGATTCACTGTCAGGTACTTGGTGTACCCGGAGCTAGAAAGTCTTGGTACCACGAGTCGTCTGAATCTAGAAAGAAAAAACTCCGCAGCTGATGTTCGATTCTGGCAAGCCGTGGGGTTCAGCTGGGTTCAGCCATCCGGAGTTCCGGTCTCTGTCCTGCTTCGGCTTTGTCGGGAGCGCATGCCAGTCTGTTGATTGTGGAAGTTTCCCGGTGGCCTGGAGGACGCCTGGCCCAGGCTGCGCAGCTCCCTGCAATCTGTGGCCGGGAGTCCCGAGGGCTGCTCAGGGAGGGGTGTGAAGACATAGTCATTTCGCGATTCCACCGTCCGGTGGGGCCAGGACGGCACTATAAAATGTTGTTGGGGGGGTGGTACACAGCTGCCGAAAGGGACGCCACTAACGTATGAAACCGCATCCCCTCGAGGTGAACGACCGCAGCGCCCTGACCATCCTTGGCCGTTGGCTTGACTCAGTGAGGTCGGGGTTCCCAGTGCCAAACGCAGCCCTCAACCTGAAGCCCTAGGCAAGTATCGATCGATCGAGTACGGATTGCTTTCCATTGGTTCGGGCTTGAAAAAACTTAGATGCCACGCGACCTTACAAGTGACGAGCGGCACTTTCTCAGAATCGGCCTGGTGAGGACGGACTTTGGTCAACAGTTCGCGGAGGTGCGGAGGGTCAACGGCCAGAGAGTGGATGTTGCATTCCCTGCATGCTGACCAGTATAGCTATTACTGAATATTCCTGTTCCTGCTGTTCTCTTTTTCCTTGTAGCTGTTGTCGTCGATCTTATGCGCTTTCCCACCTTGTATCATCAATGATGTTTGCCTCTCTGTGTAGCGGTGGGGTTGATACAAGGTATTGCTGCTGCCGTTCGTGCATTGAGTCGAGGGTCAACTTACTGACCAATTTTGCGAGCTTGATTCTCTCCTCCTACTGCAGATGAGGTGCTGCTGAGGAAGACCATAATGTTCTATAGTGGTCATGATGACCCTAATAACAGCGAGCACACTGACGACTTGGTAGTGCTACAGGTGATGACGCTGATGAGGATGATGCAGCAGATGATTCTGATGATGATGATGATGATGATGATGGTGATAAGGGTTGTGGGGAAAGCCTGTGATCGGTTCCTTTGCGGTACCTTTTCTACTCTGAGAATCATCGCCGTTAGGGGCTTGTAGCCCTTGGTCCAATCTCCAGGAGGAGGAGGAGAAGAAGAAGAAGAGCAAAGGCTCCGAGGAGGCGGCCGAGCTCTGGCGTGTGATTTTAACCTCAGAATCTTCGTGTCTCTGAGTCGGAGCGATGTCGGCGCACTAGGGTGCAATTGGCGTTGGTGGTTGCCACGTGTTTCGGAAACCCCCCGAATAGGACATGCAAAAAGCCCTGTCGACGCCCTGCAAGCAAGGCCCTGTACCTGTTAGGACTGCTTGTGTTGACCGACGGCTTGATGCAGCTGACATGTCGGCTCTCTGTTTTCGCTATACAAACTCGGCCCACTCGGCACTCAGATTCGTCCAACCAGCCTGGTGACGTCTTCATTTGGTCTTGCATGTGTTCCCACGAGGCAGCTCCTTTGCACATCGTCTGTCAGGAGCAGACTCCAGACATCCTCGTCTCTGGCGCCGGCGAGGACGCGGGCGACGGCTGTAGCTTGGCGCCTTGCTACTGTATTGGATGTAGCCTCATGCCGGCTGGGCTCTGCGCTTGGAGCCGTTTCGGCCGCATCCTCTACGGTGTCTTCTGAGGGCCAGGTAGGACATCTACAACATGTTTGTGTGTCTGCTGCGACTCCGGGACATGCTCTGGCCAGTGCCCAACTTCATACATGCTTATTTTCTCATCTCGTGGTGATGGCGTGTCGACGTCAGCCGACACTCTGACAGGGGGGAGCACTACATGCTTTCTGCCTAGGATCTAAGTTCCGGACTGTTGAGCCCAAATTCTTTGCAGGAGCGTGTCAATGGTGAGTACTGCCTTGCCTTCCGCGGAAGCGAGTCATGCTTCTATCAGAAAATTGGCGACGTGTCCTGGCAACAACCATCTTCACGCACATCTTTGCTTTGAGATGCAGCTTACGTCTTGCTTTCGCAAAATGTGGTCAGTAAATGTATATGTTTGTGTATGTTTATGTTTATAGGCATATGCATACGAGTATGCATGTGAACATGCATTTGCATACGTCTACGTCCACGCCTATGTGTATGTATAGATGTATATGTAGGTTTTTGTGCAGATCGGCATGTTTGCTTATATATCTATATAGCAGCTGATAGAAGGGGTGTCATGCATACCATGTACTCGTTGCAACACATAACTTGCGTAGTTCCGGCACAGAAGGAGCGACGGAGACATGTAGGTATGTGTCGAGCTCTATGGTTGCATACATACACCGTGATGCGTATTACATGCATGTGTAGAAAGAATACATAGAGCACGTAGCTTGTAAGATGTTGTCGAGTCAAGAGTGTGTCTTCCAATCGTTGTCGAGGATGCAGTTTTCATCGACTGCTTCATGTCCTCCTGGGTGATCTACATGCGCTACACAGGCCGCACCATGAACATGCTCAACCAGTTTAGTGGAGCAGCCAGTTTAGTGGAGGTGTTACTTGAGTGCGGGGGCGTTCTGGCTGGAAGAAGCTTGCTTGGGAGCAAAGTCATTCAACGAGCTTTGTTCGGTCGGCCTCCTTGCATCTCATTGAGAGGATGCAGATGGATGTAGTGCCAAGAAGCAGTGTGTCAGGTCTTGCAGAGTCGGCTGATTCATAGTTCAGCTCGAACATATCTCGCGTCACAAGCCCTGGGCCGCGTAGCCCACAAAGCAGCTGACAGGTTGCGTCTACGAGGCGTCGGGCCATCACAGCAGCCTTCCGAAAATGTGGAAGGCCAGGCACCGACCACAAGCAGGTTCACAGGCATTATAGTCACATCAGTAGCGGTAGTAGCAGAGCAGCTAGGAATTGTCATCGTCGTATCGGGTTCGTCGTCGTCCACCTACCAATTACCGCTGTTTTACCACCCCTACTACAGCAACAACAACAAGAACTACTACTACTACTACTACTACTACTACTACTACTACTACTACTACTACTACTACTACTACTACTGCGGCTACTGCCATAACTATACTGCTGCTGCTGCTACTCCTACTACTACTACTACCACCACTACTACTACTACTACTACTACGACGACGACGACCACTCCTCCTCCTCGCCTGCTGTTGCTGTAGTGCTCCTTTTTCTGCTACTGCTGTTGGCTGTTCCTACAGATGCAGCTAAGGAGGACGGCCAGACTTATGAACAGTCATAGTCTTGCATGAAGCGTGTGAGAACTTACGGGAAGCAGCATCAACGTTACACTTGTTGTAGCAACAACGTCAACCCCGAGAAACTGTCCGCCAACCCGGGGCTGCATACTTTGTAGTTGTAATGTTTGCCGCTGTTTGAATTGGGTTCAAGTAGGGGTAACGCGGTCATGCCGTGGCAACTGCACCCCGAACCTCCCCCGGCTAATGTAGGAACCTGACGAAGGAACCCTGGGCCTATAACCCGAAAATAGTATAGGATTCATATAAGGAACCCCAATCAAGGCCCAAGGTTTCTTAGTCAGGTTCCTACATTAGGGTTCAGTGCTGTGGCTGAGATCCCGAGTTCCACGCTCCACCGTGTTGAGGCCATCCGGGGCAAGGCACCCTTGCCCAAGGTGGAGTCTGTGGTGGACAGGGAGCCCGATGCCCAGAGCAACTTCATAGTTTGAGAACCGTCCAAGCAACACGGTTGAGGGAACACGTGACTGCTGGAACAATGCTGCAAAACACTCTACACAGTTCCTGGGGCTCCCAGACACCTGCAGCAGGTTAAACATGCACCCGTTACTTTGTAGTGAATCGTGAGGGTGCTTGGGTGATGTCCTACTGTTGGGACCTTATGTTGTAGGGTAGTTGCTTTGTTTTAGTGCTCAAATTTCAGAAGGCGCATGGCGTGGATCTCTGTGTGGGCCTGTACCCCTCCTAGATCCGCAACCCTGCTTGAACCGTCACATCTGCTTACTTCATAATCGGTTTAACTCGATGCAAACCCCAGCAAGAAGTCAAGGTAGAGCGGTCATTGCACAAGTGAAGAATTGAGGGCGTGTTTTGCGATGCCGAGTTCCGGATTCGTGAACTTGGCATCATCATCGATCCATGAATATCACCATCACTCTGGCCATCATCGACATCGTCGCCATCCTCACCATCACCATCACCATCATCAGCATCATAATCATTGTCATGAACATCAGCTTGTTCTTGATCTTCATCATCATCATCGTCACCACCATCACCATCCTCACAACAGCATGACTACCTACATATTCTCCGGGGCCACTATGTAGCCTGAACATTACCCGTTACCCTGATCCCTGGCCTCTACACCCGAATCGGCAAAAACCAACTTCCAACACATCCCGCGCCCCCAAGCCCAAAATCTGTCGCGCGGGCCCAGTGAAAGTGCGACCACCAACTCCGTACAATGGCTATTCTGAGTTGATCATTACCACCATCAACGGTGTGATTCTTGTCATGATCGAGTGGTACTACTGCAGGACCCACTTGGCCTGCCAACTCCATGGCCACCGGGTGCTTCTCCTTCGAAACCTCCGAGCTGAGGAAGGGCACAGCGGTCAGGTGACGAGGGCTTTCAGGTCCTGATAGCCTTGCCAGGGCCTTTCGGGCGTAGAGGTCAGCGAATCAGGCCGTGGCTTTGCAGGCTTATCAGGTTTTCAAGCTTAGGCTCCAGGGTTCACTGACGGTAGTTGCTGCTGTCCTGTGGCAGTGTTCTCGTTATGTCGTTGCAATACTTACAGTGTACTCCCATGGTTCTTGTAGATTTAGCATACCTGCGACCTCCTACCAGGATCTTATCAGTACTGCTTTCCACTTCTCTTATCATTGGTGTGAGCCTGATTCTTGTTTTGTTTCGGACTTGACGGGTACAAGGTATGTAAGGTTCAGTCTCCAGAGAGCGCTCTTGGGCTAGGGGTTTAGGGTTTAGGGTACCTCCTGGTGGTTTGAATGGCTGACATGAACGGTCTAAAGAACATCAGTAAAAGGAAAAAAGTCTTGGCTACCGAACCATCATTCGCGTTGGCAGCAAGATCCTCACCACCGTCATCCTCGCCCCTTTACATCCTCGCACTTTATTTGCATCCTCGTCGTCTTCGTTGTCGCTCCCTCCGCCGCGTCCTCCCAGATCCTCCTCCTCTTCCCCTCGTCCCCCACCTCCGCAGCGTTTATCGCCATCAGGAGCTGACGGTTGACCTGGTGGAGCGGCTGCTCTGTTCGTTTGTCTTCCTCACCTCGCGACACACGTGGAATGAGGATCCGCATATCGGGCTTTAGGCCCGCATCCTGCCCGACAGCTAGTGAAGCTAGCGTATCAGAATTCAGAGTTCGTATGCATTGTCAGTACTTGTTACATGTAGTTTTGGAGTTCGATGCATAAAGGTTATCCCCTTTCTATGAGAGTCGAGAGCCTTGCCCTCAGCTCGCGGTCCGCCGGGCGAGTGCTAGACATTTTCAGGGACACCTGGACAGAGAAGAAGTCATCCTGGCCTTTGACCTGCGCAGATACTTGCTACTGCGCCCAAAATAACCTTGCACCGCATTGTGGCGCGTGGCGCAAACCTACGTTTGCAACAATCGCATGGAACTTTGAGGGCGAACCGGACAAGCCACGCATACGTATCCCGATGCCCGAAAGCCCCATCACACTTCACCACCAGAAACTACTCTCGAGCCTACAATCCAAAAGACTCTGCACCCTCAACCTGACACAGGCCGACACCCTTTAATCCTCATCCAGCACTTCAAAGCGTAATGCCACTGACCCAAATCTGCCAGGACACCCTTGGAATGCCGGAACCGGAGCTGTTCGAGGCTCGAAGCTGTTCCGTTTCTTTCTGCCGCTTGTTGGATCCTAGGGTTCATTTGAAGGGCTTCCTTGTGGTAGCATCAGGTCTTATACGGCTAGTTCGGTGCAGTAGGTATCCGTTGTATGGGTGGTGCTCGACGGTGCACATCTATCTACGGGATTTACTATGTGCAATGATTGGAAGAGCTCACCAAGATAGGGACCAGGGCCAGGCGAGCATTCTGCCTCACAGATTTGCAGGGGAGAAATACTAAAGGTTTCCGAAAATTCAAGGTACCTTATTTTGGGGTCCTGATAATAAGGATCTTACTATTTAGGGTTTGTATCAGGGTCCCGCGTTTTCGGATTCTCCCAAGTATCACGCAGAACTTGGAAACTCTGGGTCCCTCATATCGTGCACCGGTCACCTTACCAGCCATCAGCGCAGATCATCCCCGAAATCAACAAATAATGCCTAGAATATAGGGGCCTTGACAATTATGGTTTTGGGGTCCATTTTACTATATAATGAGGAACCCGTCAAAATAGTATAGGTCATTATCTAGGCCCCTATATTTCCCTAAGCAGCATTCTGATCTTCAACTTTCACAGAGATCGGCAGGTGATCTTTGCCAAGCGCTTGGAGCTCATCGGGTGGTTGGAAGAGGTGGGATCGACCTGTGCAAGTATCAGGCTAAGGGTGATAGCTGATAGCCGACGGAACCGTAAGGATACTGGCACTGTCAAGTGGGTTTAGGCTATGAGCGCAGCCAAAGTCGGAGTAGCAACGACCGGGGCAACACCGGGAAAGAGCGGAGCGAGAGTCATCTTGGCAGTGTTCGCACTCAGCAATACAAGTGAGCTCGCATGAAGGGCTTGTATATAAGCAGCTCCGTCTCGGCGGCTCTCTCTTTGCTGGGAGTATTTGCAGACGTTCAAGTAGATTTACTAGCTCGCTGTTCCCGAGCACAATCGCAGTACGAGAAAGGCACCCTACGCGGATGCTTGTCGGGTGCTGAACGCGGTCTTGATGCTTGACTGCGTCGGGATTTGAGAAGATGACAATCCCCAAAGTCAGAATGGCTACAGGTAGCAAGATGAACAAGGAAGGTTAACAATGGTGATCCTTGGGCCGCTAAGGCTTGAGGTTTTGTCTCGGGTTTCGGATTTCGCAACCCGAAAACCTGAAACCTGAAACTCAACCCTAAATCCGGCTAACCTCGCGCGAGTTGGATATGAGCCCGCAACAAATCAAATCGAACACAAGTTAAATCTTAATCCCTAAACCCCAGCCTTAAAGCCCACACACCCCCAAGTTAGAGCGTGGAGTTTTCAGCAGCTTGCATCCGAGGAAGACCGCCACCGGTATCGAGAAGGGGCCGCCGGGATGGGCTATTTGGCCAGAGGCCACAGGGTTTTTGGCTTGGGGGTTTCGGGGTGTGGGGTTTTAGGGCTTACGGTGCATGGGTTTAGGGTTTAGGATGTGGGGTTGAAGGGGTAGATCACTTTCTTTCCCTCTTATCCGCGAGTTGCAGGGGGCACCAGGGTGCAAAAGCCCACAGAGATGATAAGTAGGAGTTTTAAGTGTACTAGCCACGGAAAAGCCTTGAATGGCCCTGAAGCTTGTTTTCTCATGATTCCTGCTACAATGAAAAAGCAAGCATGTGCTTATTGTGGGCCTGTCGACAGAATTGGTTCATGAGAATTTTGCTGTTTGCAGTGCTCCCCATCCTTGACATCTCCCACTCTGCATGTCAGGCAGCGAACAGGGGGAGATACATGGCCTTGGGCCATCCGCAGGCCAAGTCTCGGGGTGGCAGTCCAACACTGCTGACCGCACGGCTAGTCTCCGTTTTGTGTATGGTTTGCCTGGGCACTACATAGTCACAAAGCTCTCCAGTTGCGGTGTTATCATGGCGGAGAGCAAGCAGACATTGTAGACCTTGAGCCATCAGACCTGGGATATGCGTATTAAAACAGGCAAACCCAGGCCGAGAACCGGAACTCGTGCTTGGCACTAAGCCAACTTGTCACCCTTCATACTCCATGCATCCTAATGCCTTGTACACACGAACATTACTGCTCTCTTTTGCTTACCGTGTTGATTCTTGTGTCGATACGATTCCGGTTTTCATGTGGTGCTGCTGATAAAGCTCAGAAAGGGATGATGATATCAATATGCTGGCCGTTGCTGCGCTCGTGGCAACAACAACAACAGCAGCAGCAGTGCTCACACCAGAAGCAGAAACAGCCCGTAAGAGAGAGAATGGAACGGTTAGCTGCTGTCAACTCTCCTATCGGGGGTCCTCTGTGAACGCAGGCCTCAACAGACGGCCGTCTACCGATGGCGGGCTCCTTCGGTGACACGGTTCCGGCTGCTGAGGCGGGGTACGGCGGGGTCATCGATTAGTTTAGAGTCTATACGATCAGCATCGGTATGACTTGTGGTTCAGCTGCGGTTAGTTTTTGTTGATGAGTATTGCCTTGGCAACTTGGGGTGTCTGGGGAGCATATGTCTGGGCTCCCGGGTCTCGGCTGTGGCTTCCGGGTTTCCAGGTAGTTCGTCGGGCCACGGACAAGATCGGCCATGATTTGAACGGAATTGGAATCGAAGTGTTCGGCATGTGCTCGTGGATGAGAGTGTGAGCGAGGGCTCTTGTTGAAGCTGCCGCTTGTCGACGTCGCTTGTTGAGTCTGATGATGGCGGTTGTTCCTACTTACCATCAGCCCAATCATTTCCTAGATGCATGATGTCCCCAACTGAGCCCGACCGTCCTGCAATACTGGCCAGCATGAAATTTAGATATGTACCAAAAAAATGGCCGAAACCCCTAACCCCTTTTTTTTGGGCTGAAGGCCGTAATCCTAAAGCCCCAAAGCCCTAGAACCCAGGTGAATCTGCAGAGCTTAGCCTTCCGCGTGGAGGGGCAGCAGATGCAGGCCTTAGACGAGCGCGCGGCACAGGAGCCCGAGATTCGGTTAGAGCCCGAGGTTTGGTTTAGGGCTTTGGCTTTGTGTCGTTACTGATGTCCAGTCTCTTGCTTCTGTCATTTTTGGATCTTTTGGTCTTGAGGCAGCAGTTATTGGCCGTAGCTACCCTGCTAGCTACGATTCTTTGCTCTTGTCAGCCTTGTGCTTCTCACAAACATTTGCCGCGTATGTTCGGCTAACCCTGTTCCTCCTCTTACTTTGCCGTTCTGGCTCCGGGTCTCACGTTCGCCTTACTTCGTCTTGGTTTGTACTCTCGGGTTTTAGGGTGCCTCAACAGGCAAACTGCCAAAAAGGCCTGCCTTTTCTGGACTTTGGGGGTCTACTTCGGTCCTCTTGGCGTTCTCTGAGCCTCAGCGCCAAGAACTAAGTGAAGCGAGCTGTTCTTTGGCCGCTCAGATGTTTCCCCAGGATCCCGATGTGCTCCATGTCTTCGGTTCGTCTGCTGGGAGCTCGGTTTCGGCTGACCTGCCTGTTCAACTGTTCAACAGAAGCCGAACATAGACAACACCGACATACATGCAAAGCAAATGGTAAGCCTTTTAATCACCGTTCTATTTTGCTATATTCAGATTCCCGAGCCTTGTTTCTTCAATACCCTGGAAAAGCAAGCCTTCAGCATTTCACATATGGTCCATAGTCTTTGAGTTGAAGTGCTAGCTACACTTGAACATGTGTCGTATGCTCGAAGAAGCACAAAAGCATCAGCCGTCAAAGCTTAAACACTTGCTCCCCAGTGTTCCTCTTTTGAATGATTGTCAGTGAAACGGGTTCTTCAACGGACAGGCTAATCTACGCTCTAAAGCCTCGAATGGGCAAGGAGGATGTAGCTTTGCAGCAATTTCGGCAAGCACATGGCGGAAGACGCCCTTTCTGACGGTCTGCATTCAACTCCGGAAAGGCTTGTCCGCAGCATGATGAAGAGATATGAAGAGTGTTTTGAGCGTCAATTGAGGGTAATTACACTGCACATCTCCGGCTTCCCTGGCCATAGCTTCTCCTGAACAGTAAACCCTACGCCCTGCAGAGGATGAAGCTTCTTGTTGAACCCAACTGCAAATGGAATGCCGGTGTTGTTGTTGGGGGTGGTGGTGCTGGTGCTGGTGCTGGTGGTGGTGGGGTACTTGTAACATTGATATCATTGTTGTCGCTGAAGCCGGTGCGCCCATATCAGGCCAAGACGATGCAATGTGTGTCGCTTGGCGACTTCGAGCACCGCCAGGATCGCAAGGTCGTTGGAACCGATTATGTGCCGCACTGAGCTGCTGGAGGCGTAGGGTATTTAGGTAGCATGAGTAGGAGCCACGATTGAAGCCATGGCAAAGTAAGAGAAATGGTTGGCTCTCAATAGACATGGCAAGGGGCTCGTCGTGGATCGAGAGTTTGACATATTGGGCAGAAGATTGCTGACATCGGCTTCGTGCTACCAGTAACAGCAGTTCAACAGTGAAATTTGTACCAACATGATGCTCTGCTCCACCGATTTGATCCCAAGGTTAGGAGCAGCTAGGCAGGTAGTAGTAACTACTAGGACTACCATAACCACTTGAAACATTCGAAGTATCTGCATAGTTTGTCTCAGTTCAAACCCAGGTCATCAGTATGTGGGACAAGGAGACAGGTGGCCTTCCGGAGATCGGCCTGTGCGACCGGCTTTATGTGCGCTGGCCACGATCGTATTAGAGTTTTCAGTGCTTCCGGGGTTCAGGGTTGGCGGCTTTAGGGCTTAGAGAGTTCCAGTTTTGAGGGTTTTTGTTGCATGTCCATGTTTGCTGTGCGGAATATCGCCGGAAACTGTGGTTCGGAGAGGTTTCAGGAAGTGTTGTTCAGCAGAGCTGCGCTGAAGCAGTTGGCTGTTTGTGATACAGGCCTTGCATTCTCGAGGTTTCAAAAGAAGCTCCGAGGGTTTGCAGATAAGTCACGGCCTGAACCCTTAGGTTTTGGGGCTCGGCACTTAGGGCAGGGCAGGGTCTTTCACAGCCAATAGGCTTGGATCTTTGCGCTCAGGGTTTGGACTTGAACTATTTGTTTAGGTTTTCTCCCTGGCTCTTAGTAGGAAATGGGGGAGTCGGTTATGGGGACCATTTTTTGGGGGATTATAGAGGGGCCTAGGGGCTACTATAGGGACCCATCCCCCCATTCCCCGTTGAGAACCAGAGAGATTTTCATCGATGCGCTGGTTTAGGCCTTGGGTCCCTGGCCGAGCTCACGCTCCCAAAAATCTGAGCGCCGGAACATCCTCCGTAAATTGAATCCTGCGCCCTTCACTGACCTGCTAAGCTGCTAAGCCCAAATCTCTTTATAAACCCTAGAATCCCTGCATCCTGAGCCTACTCCCGAAACCGCAGCAAGCCTCTGGCCCAAAGCAGCAAGGATCCAGACGACCTGGCAACGGAAGAGTTTCTCGGAGCTGTCCAGCAGGTTGTCGGATTTCCTGAGCATTTGGTTTCCAGCAATGCGTTTGGGATCGGAGATGGAGGGCGCAGGGAGCAGGGCCTTCCTCATTCGTGTCGTTCTTCCTACTTCTCTCAAGAGCCGTATCTCCAGTCGCAAAGGATACTGTATCGGGTATGGTCGGAGTCTTAGCAACGTTGAGAATGGTTGAGAATGCAGATAGGGCTAGTACCTGTTCGTCATGGTCGTCATCGTCGCCACCGTAGTCGTGGATTGGGATTGGCAGTAGCAGTTTGCTGTTAAGCTTCTGAGCAGTTGCATGACAATGGTTTTCTTGGTCATAGTTGGGTAACATCTTACATTGTTATGCCCAATAAGGAGTAAAGATGTACATTGTTAACCCTATCCCAACAATGAACTAGATTTCATAGCTCGGGAAGCTGAGCCAGCAGGAATTGTAGTTCTCGCATGTTCTCGCATTATTGGCAGTACTGCTGCTTGTCGTCATGGTAGTAGCCGCCGCAGTGGCAGCAGAAGTGGGAGCAGTTAGTAAGCTGTGATAAACACAGTATCTCGGACAATACTAATTATAACTGCAACTCCCATGCACAACACCAGCAATGCCATAAGCGGAACAATAGTACTACTTGTAATCGTAATCATCGTAATCGCAATTTCAGCAGAAATGGCCATCTTCGTGATGAGGCAGTGGATCGCCGACTTCTTCGAGCCCATTCGCAAGAAATACTTCGTCAAGCTGGGGTTTCCGCCAGCTGAAGCCCGGAGAATTCAGCGGAGCTCCAATGCTACGGGGTTTCGGGGAATGGGCACATTGAGGCAATGTCATACCCACAGGATGCTTGCTGGGTTAATGCTACAAATCCAGAGCCGCGACAAGTTTCCCGCATCATGATCCGTGGGCTCATGATCATATCACGGCACTCCGCATGAAGACAGAATGGCAACCCGAGTGCTGGTTTTTCTCAAGGATGTCCAGTTCTATTTGCCGGAGAACACCGTCCCCGAAGACTCCCACGTGGTCATCCTGGCAGGTGGCCACCCCAAGAAATCGTCCACGATCTGGAGCCTGGGCATGAGAAAAGTGCTTCGTTTTTTGTAATACAGGGGTCACTGATTTGCCGGGGCAATGTTCACGAGGGGAAGCAGACAGATCACTGCATGTAGTGTTCAGGGTCTCGACTTCTGCACTTCCCGTGCCTGCTCGTCTCAACAAACAGCCAGGAAGGAAGTTGTGATCTACAAGGACGGTCCGTTGCGAGGTTCGCTTGTTCTGGCGATTGCGTGTGTCGGGCCGCCGTGGCAACTTGGAATGTTTATGCAAATAGGCCAAAGATGTCGAGACATACCTGGTGCGTGCATACGTAGCGGTGCAGATGCATCATGCCAGCATTTGCACGTTTGTAATGTGCGCACTTCATTTCTCCCATTGTGCTGACATAAACAGCATAAACAGCTTCATCAAAGCTTCTATGACTTGCATGTGACAGTACCGGATGGGCCAACCACCAGTCAACCATCCCTTCGCGTCCGCTTACACCTTGTGTCTATGTGCATGTACGTGCATCCAAGAACGCAAGGAAGCAAACACCAAATCCACCATCCGCAGAAACGCTATGCATGCCGGTTCTCCTGAGCAACAAGGAACACTTGTCAATCCACGGGAATCGTGTGCTTGCGACTCATCGCGTGCGTGTGCAGATGCAGCCATAAATCTGTTTAGCGTGTATGCACGCACGCGGTCGAAATTTGCACGCGTGCCTATCGTGTGCATTTCAGCACCATGGCTGTGAAGTGCAGCATAAGGTCCTGTAAGCCATCCGGATCTCGTGCTGGAAATCAGCTTTCGGGAACTCCGAACGAAACGAAGAGACTCGTGAAAGGATTTCGGCTGCTGCCACGTGTTTGCGATCGAAGCCTGTGGCCGGCGGAAGTATCGTGTGCTCGAAATGCAGCTGTGCTACGATCAGGTCTTATCGGGATCAGGATGTGCGCCCACGGTTCAGGGTTTACTTGGGAAACCTTGGGCACGTCGTGTTTAAGTTGGGTCTACAGATGATTGTAGACTATAGTTATGAGTTAAGTTATGTATAAGTACAACTGGTACATTCGGTTCCACCGGTGGACCAACTCAAGAAGTCCGTTCGCTCTTTGAGGAGCTTTGTTTGATTTTTGTCGTGATGAACCCCATTTTACAAATCGGAAGCCTCTACGCCGAACCCAGCTACTCTGACGTTACAGTGCCTGCAGCTCACCTTCAGAGTGGCTGTGTTCCGTTCTTCTCAACCGTATGCATCACACTCCTGGAGCTGAGCATTTACACCAATGCCCAGGAACCATGAGATAGAGATCCGCAGTGCTGATCCCAGCGGGAAGCATAGAATAAGCCCTCTTTCGAAGTTTTCAGCTGAACTACAGTCGCCCCTATCCTAAACCCTAAATCCTAAATCCCAAACCCCAAACTCAAACCCCACACCCTGTGCCCGAAAAGACAAGCGAGGTCGACTGATGCGCGCTTCTGCCATTGGGAGATGCAGCCTGTGCGGCCCCGAGCTAGTGGGGGAACATCTGAGGCAATCTTTCAAGAGATACGGACAGATAATAGTAGATGCTACGGGTTTATGCAGCGTTCAGGAGTAAGGGAGGGTGGCTTAGTTTGGAGTTCGGACGGGTTTGTGGAGATTGATATGAGCAGCTGCAACCTCTGTTGTGTTCCTTCTCTGGTCTGTCTTCGTCTCTACAGCTCTACCTGCCCGTCTATCTGTGCGCCAATCAATCCTTCGAATTCATCATTCACATATCTACCATCTAGCTATCTGACCGTCCACCATGCATTCGAGAGATGAGTCTGTACATGCGTAAATGCACAGAGAAGCAGAGGCAGGCCCGCTGACAGGTGGACAGACGGAGACTGTGTCACAGACGTGCACGGCTACCCTCTTGTATCATGGTATATGCCCTTTTCGTACGTGCACGCAAAGTTCAAGAAGCCAAGCATTTGTGGACAGAGGTGCATCCGTGCGTCCGTATGTTTATGAAAGCACGCATGCAAGAGTGCTGTGCGAGCATGCAAGCAAGCAAGAACTTGCAGATTAATTGCAATGGTACATACGGATAAGTGCTGAGCTGTGTATTTGACTTCTTCTTCTCCGTTCTTTTATTGACGGGACGGCGAGCTTGTCCCTATCTCCCGAAGATGGTTCGTTTGAGTGAAGCTGCGTAGCTCAGTCATTCGAGAGTTGAGGCTCCTCCGAAACGAAACCCTGCTAACCTTCGAACCCGTCGCCTGCCTAGGAGTCCAGCTTGGTGAATTATGGGGACCAGATGCAGGTGGACAAACGTCCACGTGATCCCTGGCCAGTGCCTTTGCGGCAAGATGTTGGGTCGTGAGAAGACCAGGCTATCGGGGGTGAGATGGCAAGGTTTCTAGGGATGCTAGGCTAGGCTTGGGAGTCTTGGTGCTCTGCTTTTCGGTTACCTCTACCTCGGCTACCCAGCTGGCTCTAATTCTGTCCGGAGCAATACCAACACTATGCAGAGTCCTAACCGAATGACCGTCACAGCACAGCGAAGCAGGAAGTCGATGCATTGCAAAACAACAAGCAAGCGGTAAATGCTCATGATGTGGCGCACACCAAGGACAAACATTTAAGCACGACAATGGGAAGTTGGTCTTCACGAACTCCAAAAATGAGCAATTTCGCGAACAATTCACCCATGGCGTCAGAACATGCAGGGACGCCGAGCTTCGAGCTGCACGGACGCCCACATAAACTCTCTACTAAGACTCAGAGAGGTGCAACTCCCCGGCCAGCTGCATGAATGCTTGGCAAGACGTCCAAAGCTCAAGGCCCAAGCCGTTCCGCAAAAGGCCACTCAAGCATTCCACGGAAAGAGGGACTCACCTCCGAAGCTGAAGGCCCAAGCCCTTCCGCGCGAGGAAGGGGCCCGGGCCGCAACTTCATATGTATACCACATATATATATATACATATACACGCACGCGCGCATATGTTTGTATGCAAGCAAGCTGTGGAGTCGATTGGAACACGAGCAGGTAGATCTTGGGGTGACCATGTATATGTATACGCATATATCTACATATGTATATATATATATGTATATATATATATATATGGGCGCACCCCTATTTGGGGTCCCCTACGTTTTTCGCTATACCATCTGACTCGGTTATAGCCACCAGACTAGGTTATAACCAGCCGACTAGGTTATAATCAGGTGTACGTCATCGACTACAGTATTATATCCGGTTTGAAGACCATGTTTTCAGAATGCTGAAACCCGCACAACGCTCAGAATTCTATGACAACTTCGTCGAAACCCTGTTACAATGTGCTAAAATCCTTGCTTTGAAGCCGTCGATATATCTTCGAAGTTCATGTTTGTGTGACTGTATCTAAACCGCTGTATTTCAGTTTTCTCCAACAAGCGCGCTGTAGTCATTAGTCTGGCTCAGTCATTCCTTATCGCGAACTAGATTTTGCAACGAAAAGTTTTCCATCTTTGTACTGTAATGCCGCAATCCCACCAAAGTCTCTGTTGTTGGACGCATTGCTATGACGTTTTGGCAAACTGATAGCTTTCAATGACATATCCCTGTTGCTCTTAAACACTGGTATATCCGGTAGGTATATTTGAGTGGTGCATTCCTTAATTCTGTATGACGGCTGCCCCAAGCCAAAATTGACAACTTGCATACTACAAGCTTAGCAAACGTTGTATGGTGTTTTTCCTGGGGGACGACATGAAGCGTCGCTTCTTAGGCTTGGCACTGTTTCTATATGCTGAGTGATGAAGCCTGTGCTTCTTGTATCAGCATACCTTAAGCGTTACGTAAAGCCGACTGAAAACCATAAGGCTACATCTAGCTTGTCCGAATGTCTGTTTGTGTTCTGAATATTTACTGAAAGTCGAATAGAAGCCATTGTTCCCAGTCCAGAACGTGATCCTCGTGTTAGAAAAAGTGGTACACACACACACACACCGAATCACTCCTCGAAAGAGGTTCATCCATGTAGTTGGAAATAGCATTGCGAGGAATTTTCTACGTACCGAGCGAGGAAACCTAACAATTTAAGTCGCAAATTTTGTTTCGCTCACCACACATATTCTTATCAGTTTTGTCTCGTCGAAATCCGGCTTCCTTGGAGCGATGTTTGAACATAACGTTGCAACCAGTTCGGCTATGTACGAAGTTATAAAACCTGACCACGCTGTAAAAATTGAAATACTCTCTCTCCCTACAATGACGTCGTATCAGCCGTATCTCAACTTTCTGTGTACCGTGATATTCCAATGTTGACAACACTTACTGACCTACTGTAATCCCGATAGAGCCCCTTCATATTCCACATTTTGATTCCTGCGTGAGTGACATGTTAGCGGCTATTCTCTCAATGTGTACATAGATCTCATAAACCCGATGTACTGGAACGGACAGACCATTGTTTAAAGTCCACCATATAGCCTTTCCGCTAAAGTTGGGGAATGCGCATATGGTCCCCGGAATTATGCTTGTTACAAAGCACTGCATCATGCCTCAACAACCGAATACACGCCAATTACCTCGGACCCTCTATTCTTCTAGTCCTTGTTTAATGTCATTGCGGTTACATTCACCCTGAAACACCGAAACTTTCGAACTTTTGGATTTAGGTGTTGATGAAGTACTGTAGCGGTGGCACAGGCCTGGTTATAACCTCTGTCCCCGGTTATAACCAGGACACCTGCGTAGTAGGCAGCCCTAGACCCATCACTAAACCATTAAAAAATTACTGTAACAAACCGTAAAATTAGTACACCGTTACACAAATCTTTTGCCCCAATGGACCCAAACCAATAAACCATTAAACCAATACTTTTGCCCCATACCACTAAACCATTAAACCATTAAACCAATCCCCTTACCCCATACCACTAAACCACTACACCATTAAACCATTAAGCCAATCCTTTCCCCCAATGCACCTAAAACCACTAAACCATTAAACCATTAAACCAATGCTTTCGCGCCATACAGGGTTGTGTCTCTCTCTATAGGGGCAAATGATTGGTTTAATGGTTTAATGGTTTAGTGGTATGGGGCAAAAGGATTGGTTTAATGGTTTAATGGTTTATTGGTTTGGGTCCATTGGGGGAAAGGATTGGTTTAATGGTTTAATGCTTTATTGGTTTGGGTTCATTGGGGGAAAGGATTGGTTTAATGGTTTAATGGTTTAAAGGTTTAGGTGTGCAAAAACCAGGGGACCCCATATAGGGGGGTACCCATATATATATATATATATGTAGATGTACATACTGACAAGTGTACATATATACATGTGTACATATATGCATATATATATATATATATATGTATCTGTAACTGTAATTTTTGCACATAGTCATTTGCACAATTAACTGAATACAGTGAATCCCATAAAGTTGGAAACCGGATTAAGGCCAAATGGTGCTGGGATTCCCTATACATTATTCTTAAGGATCGAGGCTTTGGGGTTTCCGATTTTTGGGCTTCTACTGTATGTGCTTGCATCTCAAGCGAAGCGCCTAGCGCACGTGCACTCCGGGAAAGGCAGACAACCTTCCTTCGCAACCAAAAACAGCAGGCACCCCAAAGCCTGAGCCGCAGTCCTAGCCGCAGTCCTAGTCCCCATCAATATCACGGCCGTTGGCCTTCACCTTGCTTCCGCGTGGAACACGCGCAGGTGTCAAGAAGCTGGCTCGATGAAACGCTAGCACGGCCAGAAATACCATATCGCCGAAAGGATAAAGTCGCAAAAACGAAAGCGCAAATAGGGCTTCTTGCAACCCCAGACCATATGAAGCTTGCGAGTGCCAGCGACAAAGCTTCAGGTTCTTCTTCTCGTTGTTAACATTCTTAGCTATTGCTAAGATTGATTAGCCAATGCAGGTAGTCCTCACTGCCAGTTTCTATCAGAGGCTGCACATTCTTAGCAAGTGGTTGTTTGTTAATGTGTTTTTACTATTGTTCACTGCACGTTACTCGCTTTCGGAGGATGCTCGTCACTTGAACTTTCCACCCTTCGGTGGCCTAGGCCTGGGGCCGCCACCTGGCCGTGGCCTTCACCCGGGCCTCCTGTCTCAATGCTTGGGCGCAGGATGTCCAAGAGCGCCTTGAGGGCTTGCTGAGGTTGAAGGGTTTAGGATTACGGTTACGAGTTTAAGGTTAGGGTTATGCGTTCAAGCTGCCACTTGGAAGGTCCGGCGTTTCGGGATCTGGGAGTGAAATCCGGAGGGATAAAAGAAAATGTCTCGGGTTGAAGAAAATGGGCAGGTTTGGCTACTGCGACGTGAACTTTAAGTCGCGTAGTGCAACTAGGAGTTCAGGATTCAGGGCTATTTTCCGGTCTTGTGAGGGCCGAGACATGTTGGAGGCTTTTCATAAGGACCCTTAGGGGGGCAGGGGAGAGGGGGGGTAGGTGGCCTTGATACCTATAATACGGACTTAATAAGGCCTATGTAAGGAAGTATAGGCCCCTACCCCCCTAAGGGTCCCTATGAGCTTTGATAGTTTGGGACCAGAGGCTTTCCAACTCTGAGCGTTTGGTACTTCCTTGCGTGGAGTTCGATGCTCAAGGACGTCCTCATGTGAGTGAGTGAGAGAGAGAGAGAGAGAGAGAGAGAGAGAGAGAGAGAGAGACTTTGTGTTACAAAGTAAGCCTGCGGCAACGAGAGTGCTCCCTAAAACGTCAGTTTGAATTCCTTGCAGCCGTGGAGCAGCGAAACATGTTCCCTAAATACAGATCTCCAATCACTTTTGTGTTTAGAGAATGCATACAAGCTTCTGTCATCGATGATCAGGGGAGCCTATGAAACTGTGCACGTGCCCGTCATACAACTGAAAAACCCTGACCTGTCGTATGTTAGCTCAACTCTTTGTCAGGGGGACTCGTTGTAGTTTCTCACGCCCTTGCCAAAAAAACCCATGACACATGGGGGGGCCCATGTGGCCGGGGGGCCTCGCGCGCTCCCCACGCCCTGCTGAAGAAGAGAGAGGGAGAGACTTGGACAGTGGGCTTGAGGACAGGAGGGTAATCAAGCGCAAGATCTAGCTGGGCGTGCTGTTTGACTAAACTTGGTCCCGGCTGCCCGAAATTGTCATGGAGCAAGACTTCCCACGCCTCAGACCTAAAGATCCTGCACCGCAAACCCCAAGCACTGAACCGAGGCTTTGGAAAACGGGGAAGACGATTATCGTGACTACTTGGGCGGGCTGCAACCGCCGCCTTTTGCACCCTCGGTGGTGATCCAGAGGCCCGGACAGTTTCTGATATCGTCCGAAGCTTCGGCGTGTACCCGACCGTCAAAACTTGAAGCGCACAGGTTTGTGGGTATAGACTCAGGTCCAGGCATCTACGTCTACCCCTACGGAGTACATGTTCCGAGGTACCTGAAAGAAGGCCGTTTGCAAAACCTCGAAGCAGGCCCGTGCAGTCGACTTTGGGACAGCCAAAGTCCACCGTGGAGGATGCCGAAAAGCGGGCTCGAAGCTCAAAATTCACCAGCTACTTGAGAGCATGCACGTCGGCTTTGCTTGCAGTCCGTGGACTTTGCGCAGCTGCGGGGTTTCTCAATCCGAAATACAGTTAGGGCGAGGTCTGTCAGGCTGAGCCAGATCGATGCCCAGGTACAAGCCAAGCTGGAAAGCAAGAGCGAGGATGCATCTTGCTTTCATTCAGAATGTTTCCTTTTGTCTCAAATGAGTATATAATGGCTCAAACAGATGCATTCGAAGGAACTGCGTAGGTAGCATGTTGGCATCTTCCGTAAGCACTGCACTCGGGTAGGGGGCTTCGACGCGGGCTGTAGTAGGAACCCTCAAATTGCTGAACTCTAAACCCTTAAACCCTAAACCCTAAACCCCTAAACCTTGAGCCTTTACACCCGAAATTCTAAACACCCGCGATCCCTCCATTGCCTCCAGGCCCGCGCGCCTCCGAAGCCCAAGGGCGCCTGGGATCGGCCTCAAGTAGGAGAGATGGAGGAGTTTCGGGGGGGGGGGGTGGGCTATACATCTTTGTTTTGGTAAAGCATAGTAAAGAGTTCATCGTTATTAAATCTGAGTTTATCGTAGTATATTGTCTTAACTCTTAAGCCCACGTGAGCCATCGAAGCCCCAAGTTAAAGCCCAATTCCATCAGTGCTGAGCCTCCTTGCGTGGTGTAAGTGAGTTGTTCGATGGTCTTAACTTTCAACGCCCACCCGATGCCAACTGTATAAACCCTAAACCCTCACTTCCTCGCCCCCTCGGCTGGTCTAAAATCCCTGCAGGAGTTCGTCCCTGCATACCTTCTGCGCGGCCTGATCCCGGCCAGCCTCCTTCAGTCCCACGACTTCTGGCAAAATACGGGGCCCAGCTGCAGGTTCGCATGGTTTGCTGCTACAATTCTATATCTTTTTGGTCCCATCAGTACTGTATTCATCTATTGAGTACTGTTACCACTACTTGTTGATTGCCCGCGTTGCTATGGGGTGAGTGCCATTATTGCTGTCCTCTTGTCCAGGTAGTGTTGTCAGCATTTTTTCTCAGCATTACTCTCAATCGTGTTGCCGCCGCTGATGTAGTGCCTGCTACTTTACTACTTCGTGTTTTGGATGAGATACCTCATTGCAATTGTTATCGTTGGCTGTATGGGTATTCGTGCCGGCTTCGTACCAGGAGTAGATCAGTAGGTTTATAACTAAAATGGGTAGGTAAAGCAGGCAATAGAAGTATAATATATGCATATCAGCTAATGACTGACTGCATGAATGGATGGATGAAGAGGCAAGCAAATTAATGGAAAGAGATATGTGTCTACACATCTACAAATACATACATGTATATATATATATATACATACATACACACATGTTATACCTTCGAAAATATCCAACATTTCCGTACATTTCCTCCCCTCATTCATGTACTGTTCGTCTCAATTGGTGCTGCTGCAACTCGGTGGGAAGGAAGGATGGCTTGCGTGCTCATGCCGAATGGGTTGAGAAAGGGTGGCTAGGTTATTCCGACCCGCACAAACCTCAAACCCTTATGTTTACACACCTGGTACGTCTAAAAGCTCGAAGCTCGCCAGCCCAGCACCAGTCGTGCACAGCCTATCCTCTCTGCGAGGCTTGTCGGGTATGGAAAGGAGGAGATTGTGGTGGAGCTCCTTCCTCGCGCCACCATCCAGGGTGTGGGCGTGGAAGGCTGGATAGGTAAGACCTTCGCACAATTAGGGATACGTGTTTAAAGCCTGTCCTGGGACGACCGCATGAGGACCCTCCTATTTGGTGATCGGAGGCCTTGATTTCGAGAAGTTCGCACATGTATGTATGTATGCATATATATATATATATACACATACACCTGTATATGCACATGCACATACCTATTTGTGTCTATATATGCAGACATGTGTAGAAACATGCCTTGCATAGACAACAGTTGCCAAGAGCTGAACAAACACATCAACACACACTACCTTCGATAACTCAGTCAATGAAACAGTCAGTCAAATAGTCAATCAATCAGTCAATCCATGACGTCCGTAGGTACTTACGCCACTACGCAGACCAGCTAGTGAACACAGATGAGCAAACGAAGCTCCCGCTCTCTCTCTCTCTCTGTATATATGGATGCATATATGTATATATATATATATATATTATTGTATACATACACATACATGCATACATAGATAGATACATAGGTAGACACATGTTCATGTACAAATATACATACGCATGAATTCAACAAGTACCACCTGTTGTCATGTGTGGTGAATATGAAGACTTCGTTGTTATTCCAGCTGGATGATATCGCTTTGCAGGATTTGGAAATGAGGGAGGTCATAGGAAACCGAAAGGAGACCAGGATAGCCGCAACAAACAAGTGAGAACAACGCGGCATCGAATACTGCATCAGACGCATAACAATAACACCTTCGATAAGCGGCCTTTCGTTACGATGCCATGGCGATTAATTACACATGATTCCGAGGTTAAGCCTGAGCATAGCAAAATCTCTGAGAAGCCCATAGCCCCTTCTGGACCATAACGGGTGGTATACATGAGGTCATCGGTTCTGTCTATGCTGGTAGTGGAATGGAAAGCAGTGGTGACATTTGCATGACATGTGGCGAGTGTGTAGGAATATTCCTCTTGCGGGGTGACTGCCCAAAACGGGTGACGGTTCTGCGAGCTTGAAGGCAGAATCCAAAACCAAAACCCCTGAACCCTATAAATCGTAGCACGACACCCTAAACCCAAACCCTCAACTCTCGAACCTCAGCCTTTCAAGACAAGACCCAAACCCAATGTGGATTCCAGGGCCTTTTGACTCCACCGACGAGCCGGCGGCATCGGCCCGGATCACTATGAACCTTGCAAGCTCTGAAGGAGGCGCTTAGGGTGAAGGTTCAAACCCTCATGGTTTAGGATTCCGGGTTTAGGGTTTAGGATTTCAGGCCCAGGGGGGTTTAGGGTTTAAGGCTCAGGGTCTCGGATCTAGGGCTTTAGGTCTTTCTGCTGCTGGTGCCCGCTTTGGGATGTTTACAGTAGAGACGCGAGACGGCCTTTCATGCCCTACCACCCCAAGAAACCGTATGCTCAATACAAGGGGGTCCGGAAAGGGAGGGAGCGAAGTAGTTGGAAAGTGGAGAACAAAATGCTGCAGTTACCAGTAGCCGTGCCGGCAGTGGGTAGTCAAGACTGTCGTTTCGGAAGTTTCGGGATGTCGATGCAGGAGACGGATCCTTGTTAAGGAATTTACTTTAAATTACCCTAATCAGGAAACCATATCATGTACTATAGATCCCCAGTGCGGTAACTTAGATTGAATTCCTTAACCCCTTTCCCCCTATAGAGCCCGTAAAGGAACCTTAAGCTATGGTACAGTAGCTTGAATCAAATTCCGTAACCCCTATACGCTGATTATAGAGCCCTTAAAGGACCCCGAAACGTTGGTGACTTGAATCAAACTCCGTAAGAAGAGCCCAGGGGAGGTTGAGCCACACCTGTTGCTGAATATGATGACGGCACCGAAGGGCATCTCGGCTGGCCCAGTGCTTTTGGAAAAAAACCCTTAATGATTACCTCTAGGGTTCCTAGGGTTCCTTTAAAGGGGTCCATAACGGTTACTATAAGGGATCTATACGGGTACCATAATATAGGGGCCTTACTAACTACCTATATTATTTTGGGGGTTCCTTACTGTAACTATAGTATACTATACCCGAAAGCCTATTCTAATCATGAAGGCTCCTGTAGTAGTTGAAGGGCCCGGAATCTCGAAGTCAATCCCAGACGCCCCATCTTGTATGCAGGCGTGTCACAGCTCGACTTCGTGTTTTGCATTGTAGGGCTTGGGCGGATTTGGGATCGCAGAGGCAAGGGTGCCAACGTTTAAGCGCGGGTCGAAACGGAGCCCTACCCTTTTCTCTTCCTCTTTGGTCTTTTTTAGGCAGAGTCTTACGGTCTCGTGCTGTAGCACTCAGCCTTCTTCGCACCCTCCCGTATTCCTCGCTGCGTCTTCCTGGTCCGGTGTTGCCTGGGGTCTTCAGAACTACTTTCGAGCATTTCGAGCTAAACGCTCGATTCGCACACCTCCTTCTCTTGCGACTCCTTGGAAGTTAACTATATACCCTAAACACCGACTACTAATACCTAATACGTGACCTCTTTGAACTTAATGACCCTCGCATACCATGAGGCCTGGTTTCCAGGCTCTGCTTGATCCCCTTGATACGAAAGTCATCGACCCGACCCCAAAGAGAATAGTAAGCCTCGTAGTCAACAGACTATAACAGTCACAGTGATACCCACAACTGTAGTAATGCTTCAGTCTTGAATATGGAGTGTATCCGTTCAGCGTCGCAGGGACGCCACTTCACTCTGTAGCTCGTTGGGCCTCGCGCTTGGACGACTTAGCTCATGCGCCTCGCCTCGACTTCAGTCGGTGCCTGCGCGGTTTCGGGCTTTGAATTGGGGTGGGTGTGAGACTTCGGGCTTAGACTTTTGTGTTTAGAGTCCAGGAGCAGTAAGGGCCTGGAATTACGTTGAGTCGCAGGGTGTGGGACCTGCTTGAAAACCGCTGTTTTGGATCCCCGACATACATCAATATGTGAATATGTACGATGTATATATATATATATATATATATATATATATATATATATATATATACACATACATATATGTGTATATATATATATATATATGCATGTAAGTATGTATGTATGTATGTATGTATGTATGTATGTATGTACGTATGTATGTATGTATGTATGTATATATATATATATATATAAAAGTACAGAGGCAGGAACGACAAGAATGTATATGCAGATTGATCCCTAAACAGGATACACGGAATCGGGCTCCCGCCACAGTGCCAAGCTTCATTAGCTCCATTGCAATGGCTAAGGTATAGAGTTGAGTTGTTGTGGATCTGTGTCGCCCTAGTTAGCCAGTCTGGCAGCAGGAAAATCCACGACAAATACAAAGCAGGGCAGCTCAATGCAGGGAAGTATAACATCATAAGAGAGCACGAGCACAGGAGAGCCTATCAAGTCTAGCCTCGCGGGCCTTTTAGAGGAGGTTGCCAGATGCCCCAACCATTCCCACAGTTTTGCTTTTAAGCAAGCTGGTTTTAAGACGTTCCCCGAAGTGAATCATAGGGATCCTCGGGGGGTTACAGCGGAGGGGGGTAGGGGATATACTTCCTTAAATAGGCCTTATTAAGTCAGGTATTCTAAGGCCCCCTACCCCCTCCCCCCCGCTGGTGTCGTCCTTTGGGGTTTTGTCTGCCCCTTGGGATGGCCAGCGCTTTCTGAGGTGTTGGCTTGGGGGCGCTGTGCGGCGCTCAGGGATCAGCCAACATGGTACGCCTGGGCCTTCTACTTGGAGGTCCACGGGTAGTTATAAGTGGGGTTATAAGTAGGGTAGCTATAAACATAACCCATATCAGGGGACTGATAACTCTGCTCAGAACTGCCCATGAACCTCCGAGTACAGTCTACAGGCGACTAAAGACTGTGCGCAGCAGCCTGGACCATGACCCTAAACCCTAAACCCCTAAACCCTAAAGGCCTAAAACCATAAACCCTGAAGCCCGAAAACCCTGAACCCTAAAGCCTAAAGCCCTAAACCGGAAGCGGAACCTTCTGCTGAGGCTCCGAGGCGGACAAGTCCAAACCGACTTGGGCCTCGGCACCACTGCAGCCTGGACCGAAGCCCAGAGATCCCAACACCCCTTAATTGTTAATTAAGGCATATACCTTAAATACGATTCAAGGTATATTCCTTAATAAGGAATATACCTTAAATCATAATTAAGGTCTATTCCTCAATTAGGGGGTAATGGGTTCTTTGGGAGCTTTACACCCTCGATCCAAGCTTGCATCCTTTTCACAACGAGCCCTTGGATCATTTTGGGCTATCAGGGAGTTGTGGGCTGAAGGGCTGCCTTCAGTGTGTCAAATCTCGGGGGGGGGGGGGGGGGGGGGGGGTTGTTGAAATTTGGGCTCGTCTTAAGTATTCGGATTTGTAGAGTTCCCTGCTTTGAGAGTTTGGGTATCTGGTGGTTGTTTCTGATGCCGTGCTTCTCGAGATGAAGTCGGTCTGCCAGCGAACCCCAAACTCCGAGTTTAGACTAGTAATGTGCATTCAAAAAGGGTAGCTCAGCTTCAAACATGCTTTTTCTGCAATCTCACTCCCAAGCTCTCCTCTCCAGAATTCTGTGCGATGCAGGCGCGTCCTGCAGTTCACTCGTCTTGGCCTGACCTTCTTCATCCAGGGCGAGGAGGGGAAGTCCCTCGGAGAATACTCGGTGCGTTACGTTTTTATGTCAGCGTCTCAAATGGGATCTGTCAAGTCTTGCTGTTCCATATCGGCCATCGCGCATTGGAGAGCATCTTCGCACTTGTTATGCCGTGGGATGCAACGACAGCTTCGCATTCAGTCACGGCAAGATCGGCATGATCGAACTGCATTGGCAAAGTAATGCAGAGCGCCCAGTGTAGGAACGGCAGCTGACTTACACGGCGAAGCAGTTAGCAGGCATGCAGGTACGGCGCAGATCGCTAGCATCACATGTACCTTGAAAGAGCAAGTACAAGTAAACAAGTAAGCTGCAACGTTGTAAGCGAAAGGGAACGATGCTGTTCTGGGCAGGCTTCGGATAAGCAGAGGACATGAGTCAGAGTTCAGGGCTTGGGGCTACCCGAACTTCCGATGGGAGCTTTCGAGGCAGGAATCCACGGGGGGAAGTTCCTTGGAACCCTGATGCCCGAAACCCCAAAAGGGCTAATATATAATATAATATAGAAATCACAGAAATACACCATAATATTTTATATATTGTAATACTTTATATCATTGTATGTTATAATACATTGTATTCGTTCTCATAATATATTGTTACATATTATGATATGATGATATGTGAATCCGAGGCAGCGTCTCGTTTCAGCGGACTTCGGGAACCTGAGCGTCCCTCAAGCACCGATCGCCGAGCAGGTCTGGCCCGGCTTGGGTTTGGGAGCTTTGGCTTTTGGGCTTGATTTAATGTACGTATGTATATATATATATATATACATATATATATATATATATACATAATTGAAAATCTACACCTCCGTATGTATATATATATATATATATATATATATATACATAGAGAGATAGATAGATAGATAGATAGATAGAGGGGCCTTCATACTTACCTACACTATTTTCGGGGCTGCATATTAGAATTGTAATGTAAGATATCAAGGCCCCTATATGAGGTTGAAATATTTGTGGATGTGAACGTGGCGGCTGAAGCTTGGACACATGGAAAGCTTTGGCTTTGATATGGCCAACGGGAGGAGCCCAAATGGAATCTTGCACCTACAGCCTGGAACAGGTAGCCAAGTTGCTCGCCGGAGTGCCCCACTCCGTGGTGCTCTGCGAAACTCGCTTGCGATTTACCACAGGGACTTTAAATTATAGTACAATGCAATACTAATTTTGGGTTTCCTGATTGATTTACCCCCCCCCAAGACCCTATGGTCCTATTCTAATTATCAAGGCGCCTATAGTACCCAGATTTCCTCACACTCGGCATGGGCCTTCAGTTCATAATCCTATGCGCCCAGTGAAACGAGTGCAATGTATAAGCAGCGGGTCCCACGTTGTGGTCGGATTTCGTCAGCAGATCAGGTATCGATCAGCTTTGTTGCAGAACTTGAGGGCATGAGCAAGGCTTGCAAACTGCAACAGGTAGTATATAACGGTATAACCGTATAACCTATAATTAGTATAACAGACTACAATACCTACAATACTACAGTATAAGACAAAACTACAAGACTAGAGTACGATTTACTACGAGGCTATAGCGTAATGTGCTACATGACAAAATAGTATAGTATACTACAATCTTTATTGTTCACGATCATACACGGTCCGAAGCCAAGGATGAAATGCAGGCTTTGCATGTGCTGGTGCCGCAAACGCTTCCGGTGAGACCTGCCGTCAAGGGCCGACCCTTCACCACGGACATTGTGGGGACCTCAGCGCTTCCCTGGTCAATAGACCAAGCTCACTCGCGGGATTCCTGAATGCTGAAGGTAAGGTAAAACATGGCAGAGTCAGCTGGCACGGCGAGCTCAGTACCGGCATCAGTAGAAGCCGGCACTGGTACTTGTAGAAGTAGTGAGGAGGAGGCAGGCGGAGCAATCAATCGTCGTCGCCATGAGTCATCGTCGTCGTCGTCGCAACGGAGCCGCGGTAAAACCGGGCTTACAGAGAAGCCCCCACTGCATGACTCCTTGTGCAAGCCTTGTGGCCCTTCCCCTGTACCATTCGCATCACAGCACCAGGTTTTTGAGAAGCTGAACAAGTTTGGAAAGCAGTGGAGCTCGAAAGCCAAGGCACGGGCAGCAAGCAGATGTCCGAGGATCACTCCAAAAGCACTGGTTCTCTTGATAAACTCCAGTCGGCACAGGTCACTTACTTCAAGTACGAGGTCCATGTTTCCAAAGGCTTCCTCATCGCGCCTTCTTTCTCGTCGGCAATGCCTCTTGGATTTCGTGGTTAGTTTGTTGGCATGAGGTTTGCTTTTCATGTGGCTCTCAACAATCGGTATATACATATATGCATGTATGTATACACAGATGTATGTGTATGTACATATTTGTATACACATGGATGTACACAGATACTTGCATACGTGCAACCTCTACACACATGTATGCTTGCCTAACTCTCGCTTGAATCTTAGAAACCTTAACTTTTTGAGGGGTGATGTTGGTATTATATAACTATAAGGGGTTCTGGGGTCTTGCTTGCCGCAGTGTTTGGGTCAACCCTGAACCCTGTGAACCCTAAACCCTACATGCTGAACCCTAAACCCTAGATTAAAAAACTCGAGAGTCAGAGTCAACACTGAGCCCTGAAACCTAAACACCTGATCCCCTACTCTAATCACGTAGCCCCGACCTTAGCCCATCAAACCCCTCCCCAAAGCTCGCCCGACGACTTTGACGACCTCGTCCTCTTCGATGACGCCGGACGCCTCAGAGTGCAGCCGTTGCGTTTAGTTCAGGGTCCGTTCAGGGTTCAGGGTCAAGGTGGGGCCGAACAGGCACCATCAAGGTGGAGGGGCCGAACAGGCACCATCACCTGGGTGGGTGGTTGGGAGAATAATAAACATGGTGGGCTGGGCGGGCGGGGGGGAGTCAATCATTCTTGAACAATCACCCAAGAACCCAAGTGTTTGATGATATTCTTTTGGGGGAATAATAATTGGTGGAGGGGTGGATGCGATGGTGGAGGGGCCGAAGAGGCACCATCACCAAAGCAAGGTGGAGGGGCCGAACAGGCACCATCACCAGGTGGAGGGGCCGATTAGGCACCACCACCTAGAAAACTACCTTTTCTTTCGTTTCGTGGGGTAGCCCCCCAGGGGAAACTCTCGCCAATTTTTTACCATGAGTTTTCGGGAGGGTTGCCGCAACTGGTTGGGGGCAAACTGGGTTGGGGACCATTAATCAATTTCGGATATGTGTAGTGCCTTTCCTGATCTCGTGGGGTAGCCCCCCAGGGGAAACTCTCGCAATTTTTTGGCCATGAGTTTTGGGACCATTGCTAACTGGGCGGGGATCGTGCAATTGTTGGCGCCCATTAGGCACATCACCGGGGTGGGTGGTTAGGAGAATTTAAACACGGTGGGCTGGGCGTGCGGGGGGGAGTCAATCATTCTTGAACAATCACCCAAGAACCCAAGTGTTTGATGATATTCTTTGGGGGAAATAATAATTGGTGGAGGGGTTGATGCGATGGTGGAGGGGCCGAAGAGGCACCATCACCAAAGCAAGGTGGAGGGGCCGAACAGGCACCATCACCAGGTGGAGGGGCCGATTAGGCACCACCACCTAGATCAGAAAGCTACTTTTTTTTTCGTTTCGTGGGGTAGCCCCCCAGGGGAAACTCTCGCCATTTTTTTACCATGAATTTTCGGGAGGGTTGCCGCAACTGGTTGGGGGCAAACTGGGTTGGGGGCCGGGGCTCTATTTGAGCTGGCCTTGTGGCCGGACAGCACCATCGCCTTGGGGTGTATGATATATTAAGATTTATCACCTAGAAGTAACTCTGGCCATTTGTTACACCATATCTTTTCGGGGCGGGGGGTAAACTGGGCTGATTATATAATATTATAACGATGGCTGGTTGAGCACGGCGGGCTCTTGGATTGGTTTGGGCAGTGCCTCTGCGTTGTTGCTGATTGACTCCACACAGTCCTTTGTTTGCCTCGCCTGGATTGTCCGCGTGTGAGCGCTGAAACTCCCTAAAGCCCTGAGCCGTTCCGAGATCGAGACACAACGCCGCCATGGCCATCAGAGTCAGCGTCAAGCCAGGACCTCATCACTCCGAGTGCGTTTTTTGATTGGGATTGGAAGGTTTTGCCTGGGGTGCACGGTTGCTGAGAAGGGGCACCGGGACCTTTGAATGACCGTTCTGCATCACCAGGTCGCGCCCGGCGTCGCCGCTGCTGAGCTTCGTCAGAGTCAGACGGAGCAGGCGGATCCAGTGTTGGGCTTTGGGTCTAGGTCTAGGGTTTTGGGGTTCTTAGTAAATTTGGGGGATTATGTCAATATAATGAATCTCAAACATCATAACAAACGTTGTGGGGTTCGGGGGCATCAAGATGACTTTTGAGTTCTAAACCCTAAACCCTAAACCCTTCAAGGGCCTATGAACGGCTTGGGTTTCGGGTTGCAGCTTGGGTGGGACAATTGGGTTGCCTAAACTAAACCCTAAATCCTAAACCCTAAACCCTAATCCTGTCCGAGTGTGAGCGCCGAAACCCTAATCCTGAAGCTTTTCGGCTGGTAAGGGGCGTGTATTGCTCCGAAGTTCCGAAGTCCCACATCAGAATCACACGATTGGCCCAGTCCCGGAGTCAGGGTCAAACCACACAATCATGCTGGGGTGGACCATTCAAAAACAACAATAATATATCCCGACTGCAAACTCCTTTCCGAATCAAGTTTCACACCTTTGCCGATTGCCGCCATGGACTTTTCTGATTTTTCTTCCAAGGGCGGCGGTGGCAAAGGCGGGGCTGGCAAAGGCGGCGTGGTCAGAGTCAAGAAGAAGAACAAGAAGAAAAAGGCGCACGGTGGAAAGGGTGCGCGGGAGAAGCGCCACAAAGACTTTGCAGATCGCATGGCTGGGCTGGATGAGGTGCGCGAGGCCCATGAGACTTTGCTTGAAGCCATCTGGGTTTAGTTTTTTGGTTAAACTTTTTTTCGGGGTTATTATGTTTGCGGTTTGAAAGAATCATGCTCAGGATCTTCTAGAGTCAGGGTCAGCATCCTCACAGCCGGTTCTTGGTCTGAGTTCATTACTGTTTGGGGCGATTGCTGTGTGTCACTGCTTATATTAACTACAGGGCCTGGCCATCATTAACCTCTTAGGCTACTCTGCTGAAGTCTACATCCAAAGCTGGCCCTCCAGAGTCAGATGGCTCAACGATGAAGCCGGCACCGCCAAGACCTCCTGCTGCGTCAGGGTCAGCTTCTCTGCCGAAAGCTGCCGCTGTGCCTATGGCTTCGTCAGTGTCAAAGCCCCCGGCGGCGGCATTGACGAGCACTTTAATTGAATGGGTAAAGCTTGCGATTTTTGATTCAAATCGGGGTCTTACATTCCTTATTCTAACACCATTTGAGATCAGGGGCTGCTGCGCCTGCTGCTGTTGCACCGATGGCTCCGCCCCCGAAGAAGATCAAGAAGCCCAGCAGCAGCAGCAGCAGCAGCAGCAGCAGTAGCAGCTCATCAGGGTCAGAGTCGCGACTGGTATCTCTGGCGATGGGGGTGGTGGAGAAGGTGGTGCCGAAGGCTGTCAAGTCTGCTGCCAAGGCCACGGCGAAGGCCATCTTCACCGAGCAGCAGAGGGAAACTTGGCACGATCGGCTCATTGTTTAGGGTCTAGGGTTTAGGGTCTAGGGTCTAGGCAGCCTTAATTTAATATATCCCCATCAGGGTCATGCAGGCGGAGGCCAAGGCCAAGTCAGAGTCAAGAGCCAAATCTGCTGCTGCCCGGGAAAAGGCCAGGGTCAAGAAGGAGGCTCGCGACGAAGCTGCGAGGGCAAAGCCTCCGATTTTTGGCCAGATCGAGGCATACCATCTTGGCTACAACGATGGTATGTCAGTGTCAAAGCCGTCTGGGGCCAGGAAGTGAAAAAGTCCGTTGGCAGGGCCAGGGGAAGCATAAATTACACCAAGGATCCAAGCCCCAGTCATCAGTCAGATCATCCTTCGACTAGAAGCAAAGCTGCATTGGATATCCTGACCTGCCCCAAGCTTCAAAGCCTGCGGCCAAACATCCAAATCAAAACCCCCGTACCCTATCACTCAACTCAACACACGCGGTGGTTTACTTAGTTTTACAGGGCAGTGGTTCAGTTCGGGGCACTTAAGTTTCCAGGGGTCGTTCTTACAAGATTTCCCAAAACTTCTCCTGGTCAGGTGGCTGCTGCTGATCCCTTGCCATCTTCGCTTGGAGCAGGGACCTTGGATGGGGGTGGCAGCTAAGTGCATGATATAAGCAAGCAGAGCCGAAGTAAGAAATCTCCAATACATCATGTATTGGAGATTTCTTACTTCGGCTCTGCTTGCTTATATTCTTGGTGTGGCTTGAGTGCGTCCAGGGTGCTTTCTATTGGTAATATTAGGCGGATCGCAGCAGCATTGTCTCATACTTTAACTTGCAATAACCCTAAACCCCAAATCCCTAAACCCTAAACCCTGAACCGTGTAATGTATACTGGGGGTGCGTTCAGGGTGCGTTCTTGCGTTTGCCAATAGAATCGTGCTGTTTGCGTCCAGGGTGCATTCTTGTGTTTGCCAATAGAATCGTGCTGGGTGCGTCCAGGGTGCGTTCTTGTATTTGCCAATAGAATCGTCATTCCAGCTAGGTAGTTAGTCAACGCGGCTGTATTATGGCTTCTGTACCATATGGAAATTCCTTAATCAGGGCATCTGCCTGTCATTCTAGGCATTGTTCATGGGTGGCAGGGACAAGATTGCACCAAATGCTAGCTAGGCGGCTTCAAAGATGCATCCACAGTCCTGTGCTAATCATTTCTGCATTAGTAGAACATATATGACCTTGATGGGATTCAAGAATACAGTTGCACTGAGGATTCCTTATTGTCTGTTGCTCAGGCTATATGTGGGCGGCTGCCAGAGTCAGATCCCGGCGACTACGGAAGGTGCCAACCCCTCTGCCTGCTCAGCTTTGGGTGCAGCCATTGTTCGAAGCATGTTTGCTCTGACAGTCAGAGTCACATTGCCAGCTGCACTTCGGAAGCGCATGTTGCCTGATTGTGCCCGCTGCAGCGTGGGTCAGACATGTCAGACATTGAGGTCATTGCATAGGCACTGGGCCATCGCTGCAATCACAATAGCCGAGTGGCATTGCAACATAGCGTCCGACAAAGGCCGCATACTGACTGACATGCCAATGACAGACACACAGTCACATAGGCAGTGTCAAAATCCTGAACAGACAGACACACAGTCACATAGGCAGTGTCAAATTAAGCACTGGATGGCGAAGATTCCTGTGCCCTGAGCCATCTTCCCAAGAACTTGGCGGGGGCTGCTCATCTGGCTCGTTTGGACAAGGGGGCCCAGCAAGCATCTTGGCCCATTGGCGGAGCTCATCATGTTGTGCCCATATCAAATAATTGGCCTTGCTATCCCAGGTCCTCTTCCTGACTTGGTCACTTAATCCCCGGGCTGCCAGTGACATCGCTCGCTTCGTGCGTCAGAACGAGGGCGCGGTCGTCAAGAACTCCAGCGGCTGGGTGGTGCGATCTTGTCAGCAGGTGGTCAAAACGTCCCTGATCTGCATTGGGCATTATCAGCAGTGACTTGCGATGCACACCTGACCGTAGTTCGTATCCTCTGAGGATCAACGAGCATGAGTGCGGAATGCCCAGTGCCTGATCAGAGTCACAATGACCACAACGACGACGGAGACTCTTCGCCGGTTCGGGGCTTGGAATTCCTCGGGCCAGACCCTGATAATTTTCGGATCGTGCCCTACGAGGGTCCCGACTCTGGTCAGAGTCAGAAGGGGAAAGGCAAAGGCAAGGGCAAGCCGCAGCCTTCTGGCAAGGGTCACAAAGGTGGAGGTGTGACATTCCGCTACAATGGCCCTGACAACACCTTCCACCAGGAGCCGCCCGAGGGCTACAAGGAGGTAGTGTGTCTTGCCTGACATTGATTTGGTTCATTGTCAGAGTCACGTAGTGACTTGTGAGTTCAATTTGAAAGTCATCTCGGTCAGGGATGAGCTCATGAACGACCTGAACACCGGCTGGAAGGCCTACAACAGCGTCAATCGCCTGCTTTCGCTGGGGTACGATGGACGTGTCCGTGCGACACTTATCTTGTGTCCTTGCGCAAATTTGGATTAGGGTTCAACAGCGTGTCATTGGCATTGGCATGTTCAGTGCTGATTCAGATTGAGCCGAGGATCCAAGCTGTTCAAGCGAAGCACAAGAACCCCACGGCGAACTTCGATGCATGGCTCAGCATGAGATGCGATTCCGACTACGCGAACATGACCAGAGTCAGTGGTGAGCGGGCCAAGGGATCCGGGTCGTCCAGTAGCAAAGGCAAGCCGTCGAAATAGACGGTTTGCCAAGAATTGACTGCTGACCCACAGCTTCTTCCCTACTCTTCCTACCAAAATCAGAGTCACATAGTTCTGTACATGCAGCCAAAGGTCGGCAGCAAATTCGGAGCACGCTGTGCAACCTTTTGCTCCGAGCGTGCATGATCCGCGGCTCTTCCGAGTCAGAACAGAAAGCACTGCTGCCGCTGCCGGGTTTTTTTTGCCTTTGTCGTTGCTTGCTTAGTGTCCAGTCGCATCCTTTGCCCTCGCAGGTGCATACGTTCCTTCAGTGTCATGCGAAGCCAGGAACTCAGCTGGCCCTTCAGTGATCGCTTCAGCTTCTCATTCAAGCTCCTGAAGCCTGAAGCCTTTTGATGTCGGAGTCGCTTGAGCCGTGGAATCTGCAACATGTTGTCTTTCCCGTGCCATGTGAATGCAAGCTGCTTTTTGAGGTTGTCAGCCCTGCGGCGGCTTGTATCAGCAGCAGGTCGAAGCCTGCAAAGTCCCGGTTGCAGTATGATTCCGATGCGTTGTTCTAGCTATTTACAAACTACTACTGTCAATTCTGTGTTGTGCCAGTCTCCGTCCTGCAAAGTGCATGCGCGTCAGTTGTGATTGTGACACAGTAGGCGAGCAGCCCCATTTCGTAAACCCCATACCCATGACAATTGGTGCTTAGTTAACAGTGAAAAGGTTCGGTTGGGTTTTCCAGGGTGCTCAACTCGGGCAGGTGGCTGCTGTTGGTCACCACCTTCCCTTGGAGTGTGGGACTCTGGATGGTGTGGGGTGCAAAAATAAATAATTAGATTAGCTATGCCTACATGTTCTGTCTGGGCAAGACAGGGTGATAACAGTTTCGGTTGGGTGCGTCCAGGGTGCGTTCTGGGTTCTGCTAGTAGAATGTAGTAATGACAGTTTGATGGTTTAGCTACTTCTTTTGCTAGGGTGTGTGCAGGGTGCGTTCGCGGTTCTGCAATTTTGGAAGGCTGACTCTCACTTTATAACACTTCTTTTTGAAGGGTGCGTTCAGGGTGCGTTCTTGTTCCTGCCAATAGAATCACTCAATTCCGGCTGTGCAAATTAGCAGCTGTATGCGGTTTCTGTTCTTGGACATTACAAGTGCATGCTCTGCAGACTGAGCGCCTGCAGGCGCTCATATCACTGCCCCAGCTCTTCGAAGTCGGAAACTTGAGGATTGCTTCCGGATGTCAGTGTGGGTTCAGTGGAAGAGATGGCCGTTAGGAAGCACGTTGCATGTTCTGTCGTGATCGCGGTAATTTAAAGTGGTGCGGTTCTGATCGATGCTTTCGAGTGCACTCTGCTCGTGGCAGGAGTGGGCTCACTTGGAGACCCAGGCGGGTGCGAGAGCCATTGATCATCTCTGCAAGTCAAAGAGTTCCGAGACAGTTGCATCCAGTGCGCAGCTGATATAGACTGGCATCTGAATCTATCGCAGTTTTTCGGTGTCAAGACTCCCGCATCACTTTTTGCGCATTCGCTTTGTGTAACCATGTCTATGTCCAAGTCGCCTTTGAAGCTCTACTGCTGCTTTGGCAACCAGAGAGACAAAGCTTGGAATGACATCGAGCGCATTCTCCTCCTCAAGCGTCGGTGCACAGTGTCAGCAGTTGGCTATCCAGACCCTGCGCAGGCCGAGACATGTCATCCAAGACACGTGTGTTTGTGTGTGTGTGTGTGTGTCTGTCTGTCTGTTAGTCACTCTGTCTGTATGTGTCTCTGTGTGTGTGTGTGTGTGGGGGTTTCTTGGTGTGTCTGTGCCTTAACCCAAAACCCTTCTCCTAAGCCTAAGCGGGGCAGAATGTCGGGGAGCACAATGTTTACAGCCGAACGGCCGGAGCAGGCCACGAGGGCCCGGGCAATTGCTTCGATCCTTTAAATGCCTGCACAGGGTCGTGGTTTAGTGATCAGCACAACATCGACATCTAAAATAGTAAACAGGCATCAAACATCGGAAG